TATCAAATGGTGAATTCCAGATCATTATTTGTATTTTTACTTTAATTCTTCAATAACTAAAAGATTAATCTTAATACATCAGGGAATAAACGTGAAAATGCAAAGATATGTTATATGATACAGCAATGATAGTTTAAAGCAGTATCAGTACCTGGCAGTATATGTATCTAAGAAAAGATATACAAAATTAAAGGTTTAATTTTTACTTCATTTTTATTTAATTAAACCATTATGATTATGATTTTAAAATGAAAACTCATAAATGTTTTATGGATAATAGGGCAGGAATTTATGGAGATAAGATTTCCAGGTGTTGTTTTACCAATATCTCAATTTTCTGTTCTCGTACAAGATCTCATGTTAAAGACCAAGTTCAAATTGGATAAAATGAAAGTTTGAACACAAGATCACAAATCAGTCATTTATAAGTTAGTCATGGCTACCTTGTGAAAGTAAACATACCAGAATGTAGCTAGTAATATCTTATAAGCAAACATATTTTTGTAAAATGAACCTTACTAAGAAACAAGATTTATTAAATACAATAATTTAAAAAAAAACATTGTTTGCCAAAGTCTTACTTTTTTTTTTTTTTTGGGTCCTCCCCTTCCTCGCCTTTAAGGCTGTACGGGGTTCTCCGGGGCCAGGGAGTGTGGGCGGGGATTTAAAAGACTCCCCCGGCACCAGGATGCGAACTCAGAACTATTTTTCATGGTTGTCTCATATGTCAGGTTGCCGGGCAACGGCGGTGCTCTGCACACTCATTAGCCCATTCGGCCACACCACCCACACCGCCAAAGACATAACTATCATTATCAAATTATACAATTAAATTTTAATACATAAAATCAATAATAAATGTTTACCAAGTGTAGATTTTGGTAAAGTAGCTCCTAAAGAAAGATAATTTCTAGCATATAGATTCAACTAGACCAAGAGAGTGTATATTTAAAAGATGTTGTAGTATCCCTCATATTTTCAGGTTTTTCAGACTATTTGGGAAAAATTACAGGTCATCGAAATGGTTATAGGATATAAATATATATGTATATGTGTAATTACTCTTCCTTATATAAAATATTGAGAGTAAAATATTAAGAGGTGATAAAAGAAAATGACAATTATTTTAATTGCAAGTGAACAATTTATTGTAGGTACATAATATATTCTCATTTCTCTGGAAGTAACAGTAAAATAAACTAATTTTGGCTTCTTACTAAACTTTTACAAACTGATATTCATTAATAAAATTGGGAAACTATTATACATTTTAAATATGGTAATTAATTCAAGAAGATTCAAGGAGAGAGAGAGAGAGAGAGTGAAGGAAATGCTTTAGGACTGAAGCCCTCCCTCCCCAAAATAAAAATTAATTTGTTTTCTGTCATCCATATTTGATTCTATGAGTGATTTGAGCCAAATAACAAAAAAAAAAAAGTACTTCTCCAAAATTAAATCTTGAATCCATAATGCTAGAGCCTTGTTAAATAAATATTAATTTTTATCATGTCTAAGCTTCTAAATTGAATGTGTCTCTCTTTGACATACAAATAAAAATATTAAAACAGACTCTATGATGCTAAAAATAATTTGTAATAATCTTAATAATATTTTAAATTAATCTTTCAATACCAAAACACCATATATATATATATATATATATATATATATATATACACACACATATATACAGGGTGTTTCAGGATTATGTGGCCAAACATGCAAAAATTAACTAAGGACACATACATATACATATATATACATATATATGGTGTATATATATGGTATATATATATATATATATATATATATATATATATATATATATATATATATATATATATATATATATATATATAAACAAGCTACTTTTATTAGAACCAAAACCAAAGTTCAAAGTTCAAAACCAAACCAAAGTTTCAAAGTTCACCAAGTTTGATATAAACTTTTACATTATGCAAAGCTATGGACAAATGAAGTGATAATAAATGAATATATATATTTTTTATAAAATATTAGGACAAAAATCACCAAATGTACACAGTTTTCACATCATGTATTATTCATTCGATGTTTCGGCTTCAGGACCCACTTTCAAGATCCTGCATACTAATTTTAATTCAACTGTTATACATCAAATAAATAATATATGATGTGAAAACTGTATACATTTAATGACCTTTGGCTAATATTTTATAAATTTTTTTTTTAAAAATGGCACCGTGTCTAAAAGATATGTGTGTGTATGTATGTATGTATGTATATATATATATATATATATATATAGAGAGAGAGAGAGAGAGAGAGAGAGAGATATTATATAAACTTATTTCCATCAATAGCAATTCTGATTCACCAGAGCAAAGTCTGGCTCCCATCCCCTGTATTAACCCTATGGCCAACCCCAAACCTGGATGATCAGGAACTATGGTGTAAGATAGGGGTCTCCAAATTACAGCCTGTGAGCCGGATCACCAAGGATTTTCATTCCGGCCCACAAAAATTTCTTTGATTAGATGGTACAATTTTAAAAATAGATTTAAAAAAATAAATAAAATTTGGCAAATTACTCTCATTCGAGGTTACTACAACATTCAATTTATGTGTTTTTTTTCTCTTAGGAAACTCATTTCACAGCAGAAGTATCATTTATAGCACAAAATATTGGTTTTTCATCACAAGCCATAACCGGCAGGAATTTGGTGGAGGTCTCAATGTTTCCTGTGGGGTAAAAAGTTTGAAGACCCCTCTGTCTTACACCAGGTTACTCACCTCCCTGTGGACTGATCAAAAAGTAAGTATGCATTCAATTAATATATTTTTAAAATGGATATAATAACTGTTTATTTATTTTGGTTTAAGGTCCTTATAAACTCCAACCATGACAGAAAGAACAGATTATCCTACAGATAACCAACCTATTCTAGTCAGACTTCTAAAGTTAAAATTCTTTCTGTAGATCTGCAGCGAGAAAAAATTCAACCTGCTCAAGATGGATCCAAAACCATTTCACCATTGCACCATTTCTTACACAAAGTTGCTGAGTTGAAGCTTTAGCATGTTCGGATTTAATAATTATAAATAATATTAGATAAGCACGAGTTCCAAGCTCGATATGGGTTCAAAAATATCTATTACTAATCTATTGTTAAAAAAAAAAATCAAGAATAAAGTACAAGATTTGTGATGATTAGTTTGGATTCATACAATCGATTCCTAGATTTCATTGCCAATGAACTGTAATATTCAAAGAAATGGTACTAGGTATCGTTCAACTACACCGTTACACTATCAACTCTAAATAAAATATTTTAGCACTACTTGATAAAATTAATACAAAAACAACAAACTGAGACAAATACAGAAAATTCAAAACATAGAGAGGAAATAATTTTTTATTTTTAAAGCTTGTAGGAAATCATTCTTTTTCTTCTAAATTGATATTACTTAACAATAGAATAGTTGTCATTGTTTAGATGTCACTGTTTATAAAAATTTCAATAAAATAAGCAAACAAATCTAACGTCTGCTAAAAGGCACACGATTTTCACTTTTAAGTATATCAACATAGTTTTTAACTATCAAACAAATTATTAATGGATGAATGATAAAATATTTTAAAGAGTATAAATTAAATTTTATAAAAAAATTATTGTTAACAAAAAAAAAAAAAATGAAATGTAGAAATATTCTAGCAAATCAGGAAAATGTAATTTTTTTAAAAAACAATTTCGAGCATCAGATAAATTTAAAAAGACGATTTTTGTACAAATTTTACTTTCACTTATTTCACCCAGTTTCAAAATCAACTTTGCACTTGAGTAGGCTATAAGATATATGGAAGAATTAAATTATTTATATTATATTTCTTCATCGTCAACAAAAAATAGTTAATAAATAAATATTATTAAAAAAAAAGGTAAATATCTCTGATATGAGATGTAATAGATTCATATTAATCACTTGCAACATCAACATTTATTTAACAAATTAATAATTACAAAAAAATATAATAATATACAACACTTTGTAACAAATAAAAAATTTAATATAATATAGACACATGTAATTCTAAACATAAAAAAAAGTATTTATTAATGACAGTATTAACCAGACATAATACAACCAATTTAAAACCATCAAAAAGTTATATGCAACTGATAAACATTGATAAATTTCATTGAAAACACACTAAACATTTATCCTAATGCAATAAAATGCAATGATAATATTCATAAAGTATGATATCAATTTGATAAAATGATAAATAAGAAAACTATTTTCTTTATACAATACATCCTTGAAAAACGCAAGCATAGTAGCATATAATAAACTCGTAGAGCAATTTAATGAATTTTTTTAAAAATTGAAAATACAAAATTAAAGCCATCAATGTCTAAAAACAGGATTTCATACTTTAAAATGTTTTTTTCAAGACAAATGTATGTAGAAAGCATAACACACAGCATATTGGTTCACTATTGGATGAAAAGCTGCCTAATCATGAAGTTCTGTGTCTTTTAAATAATACTTTCAACTGTCAGAACAACTACATTTGATAACATTTAAAGAATAGCAAATCTTCATTAGTAAGTACTATTAAAAATTCTTCTGTAGCTTCTAATATTATAATAGATTGTGACCATGAAGTATTCAAATAATTATGATGCAGTGCAATACTAGCAAGACATATTAAAGCAGTGGCAGTGCAAGCGAAATTAAAAGTGTACTTACACAAAGATGTATTACTAGAAGCAATTCCCATCTTAAAAATCTTATTTGTTTACCTTTTCATCATTAAACGAATGGGTCATCAACGTCGTTAAATGAAATATTAATTAAAATGGGCATTATAAAAAACTGTAAATGGTGAATCGAAATCAACTGCGATGTTATCATTTGAATCACAAAAACAATTTTGCTTAACAGAAAAATTTATGTTTTGATTGGAACTTGAAAAGTTCCCACGGTTAAAGAAGCGCCATCTCCTGGCAGGTTGAAGAAAGACTACATATCAGCTGATAAAATGTCAACGTGCCGGTTTGAATCATACGTCAGACAACTGTAATCTTAGAGTTTATTTATTTACCCTTTACCCGAATGGGATACCGCGTATTTTTTAGGTGAAATGTCGAAACCACGGAAACCGTTGCACTCTGAAAGGTCAAAAAAACATGCTCAGAATGATGCTAAAAAGCCGCCTGAAGAAGGTTTTAAATTTTCTTTGAAAACAATAGTAACATTAATATGTTTGGGGGTGGCCTGTTGCATTGGCTATAAAGGATATTTGGAAACAAGAGTTAACACCCCCTTTGACAGTAACAAGGTATTTCATTTGTAAAGTTCTATTTGAGATAAATTTTATATTTACATACATATTCAGATTTCACTTACTTACGATACCACTCTATTTAATTGTTTCAGGTTGTTGTTAAAAGTGGCCTTGCTGTACCTGAAAGATATTGGGGCAGTTATAGACCAGGAAATTATTTTGGATTTAAGACAAGAGAACCATATTCACCTGTGATGGGACTTATGTGGTACTTTCCTAGGCGCTTAGGGGCAGGCGGTGAAGGTTTCAGGTTAGCTCATCCCATAAATATTAATTTACTATATTTTGATAGCCACTCTATCTGCTATAGCTACTGTGTTCTTATTTTATGAATTACATTTTCCATAAATAAATTTTTACATAGGTTCTAATCCAGAGACCTCTCTCTACCTGGAAGCGAGAACAAGACAAAAGAAAAATACGTGTTCTGCTCTCTCATCTATTGATTTGCATAGTTATCACTCTGCTGTATTGGCCAGCTTAAACCTTTATAGGTAGTCTCGAAAGCATCCATGTCCATTAAAAATTTGGGTGAGAGTAATCAACTTCCCCATGTCTTTCTTATCAATCCAGAGTTGGATACAGAGAATCAGTCTGTATGTCCATCCTTCTCCCCTCGCATTGTAAGATTTTGTATGTACACCAAATATTTTGCTTTGTATCTTTGTTGTATAATGAATATACGATAAAAAAATATTGGTATTCAGTTTTAAGAATTTTTACATTACTAAATTAGAGAAGTATTATAAAATTATAATGCACTTCAACTGTGTTAAGTTGCTAACTGAAATTGCAAATTGATTCATCTAATTGATGATATCTAGTAAAAGAATAGAGAAAGCATGAAGTTTTACGGAATCGTCTTAAATATCAAGTGTTTTATTTATAAAGACGTCATTTTTTATGGTTTTCTTTCTCTTCTCATCCTCATTCTTCTAAATTCTGTCCTCAGGATCCATAAAGCAATGGCCAGAATTAATATAGATGATAGTTCAGGATTCCCGGTGAGTCCAAAATAGTAAATTCTGCCATAATCTGTATCTGATTCTCTTTAACACCCAGCTTTTCCAATAAATTAGCAGTTGAAACAGGAATTGCCCCTCTATTTTTTAACTGAAGTCCCTGAACCGAAAATTTTCTCTCACCAAGTTCCTCACTTTATTTCTCCTTTAAGTATGGAATGTTTGTTTTTGTTTTCTCTATTTCTGTTTTGTTATCTTGATCCTCATCGTTCATTTCAAATCTGATCATAAGATCAACTGTCAGAGCCTCCTTTCCTCTTGTACTAAAGGCTAAAATATATACGAATCTTGCAGGACCTTCTGTGTCAAGGCAATCAACTTTGAGAAAGCATTCATAATTTATCATCAAGAAATTGAGCTATTCAATGCTCTATATGTTTGTGTCAGCAGGTGATAAGGAGCATGTTATCCGTGCATTTGCCCAAATAAATAGTAGAGTTATTTTAATTTAAACAACAATGAGTTATTTCATAAAGTGTATATTATGCTACAGAATCCCAAAATTACTCATCTTGTGTAGCGTTTCAATTTTTTTTTTCTTTTTCTCTTTATTCCCGACATAAGAATGCACCGTGGCCTCAAGAAGGCCTATTGTGCGTCACCCTAAACTCTTTTAACTAATAGAATCTATTAGTTCTCAGTGTTTAGATTCAGTGATATGATTACATCTCAAGTGAAAGTATCACAGTCTAGCTAAATTATCACCTCTATAAATAATGTGATAGGCTGTTTCATCCTCCAGGCCACAGATTCTGGTGGTGGTGGGTGGAGGTCTTACTTACACCCAAATTAAAGAGGTGCTTATTTAGTCGACAGTGACCAGTGTACAGTCCTGTCACACGCCCAATGGTGCTCCTGTCCATTAGAAGAAGTGATTTACTTCTCTTGTGACAGGGCCCTATTAGAAACAACTTCAAACGAGTTTTTTTTCCTAGTCTTTTCTTAATGTAGCCTAAATTTATTACCCACAATTGCCTTAATATGACTTTTGGCAAAGCCAAGGCTTATCCCACAGATGGGCTCTGGTGCAAACCGCACTTGTGCAGAGCCTTTCCTAGCAAGGCAATTGGCTTTCTCGTTTCCAGGAATGCCTGAGTGTCCAGGCACCCATTCTACCCTCACCTTGTTGGCTCTTCAGAAAAGGTTTAGATTACCTTTACATTCATCTACCAACTTGGAGCGAGATTCATAACTACTCAGGGCCCCAATTGCCGCTTGTCTATCCTTATATATTGTCATCAATCTATTCATATTGTCCTCCCTTATAAGTGATTGAGCAAAGAAATCGATTACTAGAATCTCGGCCTGTAAGACGGACGTATATCTACCTAGAGATATGAATATTTCCTCATTAGGTGTATCCTTTCTCCAGACACTAGCCCCTTATCCTTGTTCCATCAAGGATCTGTCAGTAAAACAGTTAACTCCATTTCACGGTCTATGTGATTTATTCCTGCCTATCATCAAATTATATAGTATATTCACAATCCCTTCCTGCTCACTATGACTAATTTCACCCGTACTTTTATCACATTATTGCAGTCTCTGAAACATGACTTAAGCCCTATATCCCTTCCTCCTCTGTTTCCTTGCCTGATTATACCTTGATCCATCATGACCGTATGTCCCGGACTGGCGGAGGTGTTGGTCTCTATGTCCACATTAGCCTCTGAAACCCCCGTATCCTAGATATTTCATTCCCTTCCAATCATCCTCATATAGAATTCATCTTCGTTGAAATCTCTTGCAAAGCACATTCTCTCCTTTATGTGGTTGTATACCGCCCTCCTTAGACTCCTTTCGACCCATCCTTCAAATCAACCTTGTACTATTATGTTCCTTTCTATAATAATTTCTGAAGATCTTAATAGCAACCTACTCTCTGAATCCAACAACAAACGCTACTTGGAAAACCTCCTCTTCCCCTCAATCTTTTTATTGTTCCTTTCGCTCCTACACATCATACCTGTTGGTCTGACACCTGGCTGGACCTGCATGTCATCGATTCAGAGCATAAACTCTTATCCTACTCTCAATTACCCATTCCTTTCCTTTCTTCTCATGATCTCATCCAATTATCGTACAATATCCAACCTCTCACATTTTTTCCTAAAACCATAACTTTCTGCAATGTTGACACCTTCACACGTGATAAAATCCTACTTGAAACCCTAAATTGGAACAATATCTATTCCTGCACCTCTATTGATCATATGGTAGACATCCTCATTTGGCATTCATACTCCTATTGAAACCTCTACCTTTCATCGCCAATCTGCTTCTTAGATGTGTCAAGAAATTAGAGACATGCAAAAGAGACGTGAGGCCATAGACGCTTCAGACGAACTCAATAAAGCTTACAGGGTACTCCATAACTTGACACAAACAACCATCAGGAAAGCGAAATCAATCTTCTTCAAGAACCTTCTCTTCTGCTCCCGGTTCTAAATCAATACGGCTAACCCTCCGTAAACTCTCTCTTCGTAAATCCTCTTCCTCATCGGTCTACCCAGTTTCACCTGATGAATTAAATTCCTACTTTATATCTTCCTCCACCAGCAACAGCTCACCCTCATTTAACAGTGATAATTTCTATGTTTCCTACATTTCACCAACTGACCTTATTTCCTCTATAATGAAATCTCATACAAAGTCCATCGGATTTAATGCAATACCCATCAAACTGTTAAAATTATGCCTTCCCGAAGTCCTTCCTCTCCTTCTTTTCATCTATAATTTTTCCTTCCAGAACTAAGTTTTTCTTACTGTTTGGAAAAAAGTATAAGTCAGACCTATTAACAAAATCTTTAATCCTACTTCTCCTAAAGACTACCATCCAATTTCCATTCTTTCTAACCTTTCTAAACCTCTCGAAAGAATAGCTCAATCCCAAATCTCCAAATTCCTTGAAAATTCAAAACTTATCAATTCTTTCCAATCTGATTTTCATACCAATAACTTACATACTGCAATGGACGAAAAAATGCTAACTGTGTTAATACTTCTCGACTTTTCCAAAGCTTTTGACTCTTTAGACCACTCTATACTCTACACTAAATAAAAATCTTTATCCTTCTCCAACAGCTCTCTTCTTTGGTTTTAGTCTTTCCTTTCTGACTGGACTCAAGCAGTTAGCATTCTGAACCAACACCTATCTTCCTTCCTTACGCTGTCCTCTGGAGTGGCCTAGGGTTCGAGCATTTACCCTCTGCCTTTTAATTCCTATATAAATTATCATCCCAAATCCATCTACGATTGTTCACACCATTTATACACTAATGATTCCCAAATCTATTTATCCTTTCACCCTTCTCAGCTATTAGTCACGTTCGCCAATATTCAGGCAGACCTGGATGGGATCAGTGCCTGGACAAGACAGAATAATTTAAAGCTAAACGCAATGAAAACTCAGGCCATTGTTATAGGTTCCAGTTCTCTTCTTAAATCGATCTCCTTCCTTCTTCCTTTAGTCATCAATGATCATCCTGTCACATTCAGCTCCTTCGTTAAAAACCTAGAAATCACCATTGACAAAAATCTCTCTTGGAAACCCCATATCGCCTTTATCTCCTGAAAGTCAATAGGTACCCTTAAGTTATTTCAGCTCTTCCGCCACCTAATTCCACAACCTATCCGCAAGCTCCTTGTATCCTCTCTTATTTTCCCCCCACCTTGACTACGGCTGTGTGGTGTACAGAGGCATTCCAACGGTACTTGTGTGGTGTACGGAGGCATCCCAATGGTACTTGAGGAAAGATTGAAGCGACTTATGAACTCCTGTTTAAGCTTTGTCTTCCGTACTTCGAGGTGGTCTCATGTTTCCCACCGTTACAATGAGTTGAAGTGGCTCTTCCCTTCTTCTCGCTGACAATATATTCTGGGATATTTTCTTTTCCAAATGATCAACACCCGACACCCTTCCTACATCTACAGTCTCCTACAGTTTAAACCCAGGGTCTATTTCCAGTTTCATGATCCCGTGTTTCTGATCTTTATATCCCTTCTCACAGAACTGAGACCTTTGAATATTCCTTTATTGCCCGATCCACTGCCTTTTGGAATTCCTTGCCATCTGAGATCCGCCATGCCTCTTCCTTGTCCTCATTCAAATATCATCTCTACCAATTACTTCTCACTACCCAAAATGATGTACAATGAAATAAATATTATGAATGAAATTTTGACTGAGGTGACTGGTTGTTGAAATTGTTTGAGTTTTAATTTTAAGAATCAACCCATAGTGCCAGTGCTTATAACATTTTGTTTTTTATTTCTCCTGATTTCTGTTTTTCTTTTCATTTCAATAATCTTTGTTTGTTTTTTCAAAATGTTTTACTTTTTTTATTTGTTTTAATGTATTTTCATTAAGATATTGTATATATTCTTTAATTTTGATTAATGTAATTTTCGGCCAGATGTGTTTTTTAATTTTTGTTCATTATTGTTATTCTTAAGGGACCTTGTCCCGGAATAAAGTTTATTTTCTATTTTATATCTCTATAATTATTAACTTGAAGGTCAGAGTTCATCGCAAGCACCTCATTGCTATCAATCCTATAAAAAATTAATCCATATCCGTGAAACGTCAGGAATTTCAATTACGTTTCCAGTTTATCCAATCTATAGGCAGTTCTGAGAACATATGCTTCTACCTCTAAATCAATGCTGTCAGATTCAAAAGAACTTCCATCACAGCAGCGGAAGTAGTGCTTGTCATAAGGCATGCAAGTCTTTGAAGTTTGCCAAGCTTCACTCTAGGCTTGCTTGCAGCTATGCCACCACACTACAGTCGCATAAAGGATTAAGGAAGGATCTAACCGCAGTTCACTAAAACCATAGGCCCATACTGAATTTTAGTCCCCACGATTTGTTAACAACTCTTCTGCATGGCCATAAACAGCTTATAGCCTTACCACTAATCTTTTCAATATGTCTTAACCAGTTCAACTTACTATCTAGAGTAATCCCACGATGTTTTACTTTACTACGATAGTTTATGATGTTCCATTTAACGATTGTGGTCTAATATTGATATTCCTTCTGTCAGAAAAGATACGTAGAGTTATCTGCTGCTGATTTATGCCAAGACCATTGTCCTGGCACCATTCTTTTTGAGGTCTCATAGTGTTTTCGAGTAATCCAAAAATTGTATCTGTAAATTTTCCTCTTATCAATACAGCCATTATAGCGTTTCTATACATTACACTTACCTTGTTTTATTAATTCATAAAAGCTAATTAAATAATTTTACTTATTGTAATTAATCAGAGACAACTGAAAGGGATTAAAGAAAAAAATTCTTAGGATACACCATCAATTTTTGTATTCTACTTAGCACCTAAAACGGTAATGAAAGTCATGTTAGTGGACACACCAGGCATAGGAACTTCAGTTTACATGCTTCAATTAAATATATTACCGGATTCTTTTTTTTTTTTTTAACAATGTCATTATCAGAGTTAATCATTTTCGTCATTCTCATATTAGTTTAATTATTGTTACTGATTAGTAGCGTAGATCTTGCCAGGCAGAAGTAATTCTTCCTGAGAATGCAAGAAAAGTTATTATACATTAAACTGATATTTTATGGCCATTTTTTAAAAATCATATGTAAATTTCTGAAAACATTGTCTTGGTAAAAGTAAAATTTAATTAATTGAAATATTACTGTAGATTTTATTTCTCTATTAATGAGTTATTAAATAAATCTATCTGAGTAAGCTGATCGGTTGAGTAAATGTCTCAAAATAACACTTCACTTGGATTACCTGGGTACTAGGTTGACCTTCCGCCATAAGCTTGTTTCTGACACCCAGGTCCATTAAGTATTGTAAAGCAAATTAATAATAATAATAATAATAGGTTGACTTTGAGTCATGAATGGACTTAATTATGTTAGGAACTCCTTTTGGAACCTTGGATGCCCAGCAGATATGGCGGTTTAAGGAGTTGCACTGGGTATATTAAGAAATGTCTCACTTCGTGAGACAGAACATCTGTATTCTGGAACTGAAACTTCACGAAGAACCAGACTGAACTAATATTTAATCAATAAAAACAAGCATTTGCATTAGCATAAATATAGTTTCAGTGTAGAGATATTTTAATTATACTTAACTAGTACACCCCACCAAGAACTCTCACGTTATGTAGCTATCCTTCTCTCTAATGTAAATATCAATTAAGTGATATCAGTGAAATATGTTCATGCGTATATATACAATATAATATTATATAATTCTTAGCTTTGGAGAAGGTAAGATCAATATCACAGGAAAATGGAGGGGTTCTCATCAGAATGAATCATAAAAACCTTGGATACTCTCTCTTTGGAAGTAATCAAGAGGAGATTGAGAAACTTGCTAAGACTGTGATAACAGAGGCAGATCAGATCAGCCTATAAGCAAATGAAGACAAAACAAAATATATGATAATAAGCTAAAAATTATACCCCAATAAAAGGATCTGCATAGAAGGAAAATCATTCCCAAGAGTAGAAAAATTCAAATACCTCGGTTCACAACAACCTCAATGAATGACTAACAGGCAGAAATAGACTAGCGTATAACTAGCACAAACAGCTTTCTTCTCTCTTTCAAAAGTATTGAAATCCCGAAAAATCTCAAGAAATCTCAAATTAAGGATGTACAATGCTATGATAAAGCCAGTTCTAATATGGCTGAGACCTGGCCACTAACCAGCTCCGTAGAAAGATGTATTGAAAGATTTGAGAGAAAAATCCTCCACTTCATAACTGGAGCAATCTGCGATCAGAGTACTAACATTGGAGAAGAAAGACCAATAAAGAACTGCTTTCAGAAACTGGCCAATCAATATTCCATGGTATGAAGACGCGGAGGTTAAGGTAGGCAGGGCATGTAGCTTGTAGTAATCCATCTGGAAGCCTCTACATAATAATGAATGTCTCGGTAGAAGACAGAAGACTATGTGGAAGGCCAAAAAGAGCTGCGTGCAGATAAATGAAAAGACATAGCCCAAGACAGGCTGAATTGGAGCAGGCTTCTTAAGGCGGCAAAAGATCTACATGGTCTGTAGTGCCAACAGAAAAAAAATTATACAATAAAGATAATCTATTCAACAAACACAATTGGTGAAGCTTCATACTTTACCACAACTATTAAAGTAACAATTTACTTAATGAGTGATTAGCGGATTTATCTGAAGTGCCTCAGGAATCTTAACTTCTCCATTTACTTTTTCAATAGATTTTTAGCTAATTGGATATTAACTAAAATATTCTATCATAAATAGTAATATTTTAATTTTTAAAACCTAAACATTTGATAAGTATGTATCCCATGGCAACCATAGAAGTGAAGAGGCGTTAAAATTGTTGAAAGGTATTCATCATTCCTGAGAACCTTGAAGGGATCTATGCTTTGAATTGCGTTGAATCTAATCAACTGATGCTTTGATAGATTAGAATAACCCAAATGTATTGTTGATTAATTATAAATTTAAATTATAGATAATAAATTTGAATTATATAAAAGCATAGATTGTAATTTATGATCACTGTCTAATATTAGTATATGATTATTTCATGAATCTTCCTTTGATTTTAGGCATTGGTGTGAACAAGGCGATGGCTTATCTAAATACGGTTGGCAGTTACATGATGGAAAAAACTTTGGTGTCCAGGAATTGAATGATGATCCTTTTATATTAACTACCGAGTTTGTCAAAAGACAAGGTGGTAATCATGGTGGAGACTGGAGTGCCAGAATTACTGTGAAACCCAAGGTATAATCATTGATTAGTTGAAAGTATTAGAATAATAAAATGAATATGGTCAACTTATTGCAGTTATTATCTACAACTTGAAATTATGAAAAATATCTTTGAATGCATTGTTAATTTATGTATTTAGGGTCAACAATAACTAGAAAAAACAAAATTGAAGATGAATTGAAGGCTAGGTTAAAGGAGGAAAATGCTTTTTATTTTTCATGAGCAAAATTACTTAGCTCATGGCTTCTGTACCGAAACTTAGAAAATTTGAATTTACAGATATTAGACTACAGTTCTTTATGGATGTGAAAAATGGCTGATTGCATTAAGGGATAAACCATACCTTGAGGTTTTTCAAATTAAAGTATTGCTCATAATATTTAGACTGAAAAAGATCCAGCTAATTGGAGGATTTATATGGTTACACAATCCTGAATTGCGTGAACTGTATCTGCTAAATATAATTGAGGTTTTAGCTTTGTGGTGAATAAAATGGACTTGTAATATTGTTGGACTTAACAACGAACAAATCACTAAAAGGTTTATCAGCACTAAGCTGACTGGTATCAATGAATTAGTTAAAATGAAGGTGGTTAGGATTGCTTTTAGGCAAATCTTGGATTGGGTATGGACGGCGGTCAGTGGATGGAAATATGTAGACAATGACTGTTAGTATCGAAATTGATCCTTTGGGTTCACTGATCGTTTTATTATTATTATTCATAAGATAAAGTGAAATTATTAAAAGTTCGTGCCTTTATTGATTTTATTTTCAACACTATAAATAAGGTGTTTCAAATGTCATCAAAATATAGGAGACACATTTGTGATCCTCTCCTTGTAAGATGGAAAATAATGAAGTATAGTTTGTTCAAGAATATTTGATCTTTGAAATCAGTCAGTTAATGTAGAAATTATAGATAAAAGGATTTTTTTTTTAATTTCTTGTTAAAGTGACATATTCATTTATTTATATTAGTATCTAAAAATAAGGATTTTAAACACCACCTTGAAGAGGGAAGATTTTACCACATTTGGCCTTTTATCTATAATTTCTACATTAACTGACTGATTTCAAAGATCAAATATTCTTGAACAAACTATACTTCATTATTTTCCATCTTACAGGGAGAGGATCACAAATGTGTCTCCTAGATTTTGATGAATTTAGATTTTTGGCAGATTACAAATATTAGGATCTAATATATTTGTAGTCTGCTAGTATATTGAATTCTAGATTTAATAATAAAGTTTATAAAAATTTAGGAGACACATCTGAGATCTTTTCTTTGTTTGTAATTGATTATACTTATATAGTAATATATTATAGACAAACCATTATTCTACTGATGTTTTAATGTTAGGAAGGATTTGGCAGAGGGGAACTTGTAAATCTTGTGTTCTACACTGGAATAGAAAGTGGTACAAGAGGTAGGATCTCTCCTACCAGAAATACAGAAATACCTGGAGTTGTTGGAGAAACCCAGGAACTTGGCCAGTTTGTTGTGAGATACGCTAACACTTCTGGACAACTTAAGGGTATTTAATTATTTTATTTTATTTTTTTTAATGATCACTTAAGAATATTTCTTTGCAGATTTTAGATTTATATTTTATTGGCGTTATTATTCTTTCTTTATTGTATTTAGTTTCATTTTTTTATTTCAAATTCTGGAGGTAGGTATCGTTCAAGCTCAATAATGTATTGTGTGTGTATCCATTCATTTTTGTAACCTGATATCGAAGTATGTATATATAATAAAAGATAACTGAAAAATATAATTATTCTATTGATTTGCATACTTATCTCAAGACAGTTTTAATTTATACATCAAAATTTTTCAGTTAATCATTTATTTTAATTCTTCAAATGAATATAGATGCACCAACAAAACAGTTTTACTAATATTTTGAGCTCCCAATATTGAATTATCTATGTACAAGTAGTTTTTTTTTTGTCACTCAAATTTATGGTTGATGTAGTTTTTTATCTAGTTCAAAACGTTTTATAGATGGGATCTTCACTATTAATTTTTGTCCTCAAGTACCAGATTGTATAATTTTCAAATAATGCTGGTTAAAAACGACTGGAAAGTTTTACTACAAACAAATTTGATTACCACTCACTTATACCAGTTCATAACGTAAACAGTGGAAATGCCCCTGTTTTTCTCAGTTTTATAAATTATTAAATTAATTTAACTCAATTAATAAATTAATAAAACCATAAATTGTTTAAATAGAAGATTTAGATTCAATATTTTTTCTATCTGCTTTATGATAGCATCTTTTATTTATTCTGATTTATCTCTTGCAAATCCAATACTATTCACATATTATGTATATAAGTTAAATTTTGTTTTTGATATTTGATGATAGAGTGCTAATCTATTTTTACTTTTAGGCATATCTTATTTGAGTGTTGAAGGCAAAGGGCTACATTTGCTTAAAGAAACCATCATGTCTACTCTCCGAGTTCAAAAAAATAGACTTGTTCTTCCTGGAGATCTAACACGTCTTAAGGAAGGTACCGTTCCTAATTTAGTAGCAACACAATTTGAAGCAACTGTTCCTTTCCAATTTGAAGTAAGTTTTGAGAGTGGAAGTTTTGTCGATAGGCCAAATTCACTAACTGAAGATGTTTTTACTCGAGAGCTCAATGAAAGAATACAAGCATTTCATGAAAAGTTCGAAAACACATTTAATTTGACTGAATATTCATTAGAAGAAATTAACTTCGCTAAGGCTGTTTTTTCTAACTTGATCGGAGGAATTGGATATTTTTATGGAGCATCTAGAGTTCGTTCTGATCACACTAAAACACCAGTGCCTTATTGGAAAGCTCCTTTGTTTACAGCTGTTCCTTCTAGGAGTTTCTTCCCTAGAGGATTCCTCTGGGATGAAGGCTTTCATGGTCTTTTGCTTGCTGCTTGGGATCTAGATTTAGAGTTAGATATTATGTCTCACTGGTTTGATTTGATGAATATAGAAGGCTGGATACCACGAGAACAGATCCTTGGTCAAGAAGCACTTGCTAAAGTACCTGAAGAATTTGTTACACAGACTAATACAAATGCTAATCCTCCTACATTCTTTCTTACTCTAAGATTCATAATGGAAAATTATGCAGATCGTTTGACTGAAGAAGATCGTTTAGGAGCCTTAGAGAGACTTTATCCACGATTAGTGGCTTGGTTTGATTGGTTTAATAATTCACAAACAGGAAACATTGGCGGCTCATACAGATGGAAAGGAAGAGACCCCGCTGCTCCAGAACTTAACCCTAAGACAATGGCTTCTGGTTTTGACGATTATCCAAGAGCATCACATCCTACATCTGAAGAACGACACTTGGATCTCCGTTGTTGGATTTTACTAGGAGCTGCTACATTAGCAGATATTACCAAGATTTTAAGTCGATCTGGTGGCAAATACTGGGACACTTACCACTATCTCTCTGACACATCACTTCTTGATCGTCTACATTGGTCTGAGGCTGGTGGCCGTTATGCTGATTATGGTCTCCATACAGATGATGTTGCCTTCAAAACTCGCCCTCAACCTCATCGTGTAGTTCTTACAGACCCTACTCCACGGTTGGTAGACTCTGTATTTGGTTATGTCAGTCTTTTTCCGTTCTTTGTACATATCCTTCCATCCAACTCAATTAAACTTCAAAAAATACTAACAGACCTTCGTAATCCTCAACTCCTTTGGACACCCTATGGCCTAAGGTCTCTTGCCAAAAATTCTCCTCTCTATAACAAATGGAATACTGAACATGACCCTCCCTATTGGCGTAGTCCTATTTGGATAAATATGAATTATCTTACCCTTGGAGCTCTTCATTATTATTCTAAATTAGATGGTCCTTACCAGTCTCAGGCTAGGATTGTTTACAAACAGCTTCGTAGTAATTTGATTAACAATATCTTCAAAGAGTACAAGAAAACAGGATATGTCTGGGAACATTATAATGACAAAACAGGTGCTGGTGGAGGTTCTCACCCTTTCACGGGCTGGACTTCTCTTGTAGTTCTTATTATGGCTGAAATGTATTAACAAGTTTATTTAAAATTGTTTTAAAATTTTTGTCTAAAGATAAAAGGGTATTTTAATCATTCTATTGATCGAAATGAGAATGATTGTATGTAAAAATTTGTAATATAATAATAATTAATTGTTTAAAATTTCACATTGAAATTCAAAACCACTTTGTGGGTAGAAGTGTAAAGAAAATATTTACTTCACTAAATGTGATCTCAATTATTACTATAAATAACAACAAACTTTATTTATGTAACTTTGTTTCTTTTTTAAATATTTTACCCTATGTAATATTTTATTTATTTATTAAGTTTTTGTTTTATTTAGAATGGTTATTTCATTGTTTAAATGTATATATCTGATGTTGAATGTTTTGACTGATAAGCTTCTTGAAACTATTGTTAATAGTTAATCATAAGCAGCATTTAATGATAATTATTTAAAATAATGTGCTAACTCTGTTTTAATAATTTGCACAGAGGAACAATTTCATATTTATAAAAATAATAATGATATGATGTTTTATTTTTTCAGGTTAATGGGACAAATTTTAATGATTTCTTATTTATTTGATTTTTTTTTATAATAAAAACTATGGATGTTAAAAATTTAGGATGGCCTAATTTTATGTAACCTGAATTTCAAATATTGAGATAATAATATTTTATAATCTTCAACATGTTTATTTTTCATTCTTTCGTTGTTGTGATTGCTATGCCTGGTATATTTTAATATTTTAGTTGTTTTATGTGAAGAAATTTGGTAAAAGAGTGATTCGTATCCCAAACATTCAAAAGTGAATTGTCGGATATATTATGCTGCTATTTACTTGAACAAAAAAATATGTTAATGCGATTAATCTTCGAACCAATAGAAAGTGTTAATGATTTTTAACACATTTATCAACAGTTGACCAGGCGAATATTTGTGTCAGCTAACTTTTAAAGCCATAATAGCCAATTGTGTTAAGCTTTCTTGAGTCAAAAGGGATTGGAATCTGGTTTGGGTAAGCTCAAATTTATTTTGAGGTGGATTCACATAATAAACCTAGACCTTTAAAACGGTCCAGGATAAGTTCTTTACTAGTGGAAACAGTTTTAATATCTAGAATCAGAGATGCAAGGAAGATAATAGAATTCCCAATATTAAAAACTGATAACTAATAGGGCGTATAAAAAAAAATTACCGTATTTCAACCAAATATTTGTATTATTATTTCTTTGATATAAAGTAAAATTAATACTCAAAGTATAGTCCATTGTTATCTACCGTCATTAGCCAATTGCTCGATCCCACACTGATCCCATTATTTGGGATGACTATCAAAATCATCAATTTTTTTCCCTTGAAGAAAATGGACTATGGACCTAAATAAGTAATAATCCGATAGTGCAAGGACTGGACTATATGGTGGATGAGGCAGGTATTCGAACCCATAAAGTTCTCTAAACTTTTCTTTGGTTCGACGAGAAGTGTGAGGACGAGCATTATCTTGTTGGAATAAAATTCCTTTTCTGACAACTTCACATATAATCTTTCCAGTTGTTCGTAGTAGAGTTTGGAATTCATAAATTATCCATCAGGAAAAAATTCATGATGAATAAAATCTTTAAAAAAAAAGGCAAAGCTTGGATTTTTTTCAGCAACCGGAACAGCAGTTTGATTGCGATCTAGCCATTGTTCACAAGTGTTCGGATTTCACCAGTAAACCCACTTTTCATCACAGGTGGCAGTATTCTGGTAAAATCTCAAATCAAAAGTGTTTTTCCAATAAATTTTCACAAATTTCTAAGGTCTTAGTTGATTGCTGAGGAGTAAGTTCGTGAGGGACCAGTCTACTGCTCTTTTTCACCTTCCCCATGGAGAGTAGATGGCGTATCTTTCGACACACCACACTCCCTGACAAATTTCTGAATACTTGTGGATGGATTTGACTGAACAGCTTCCTGCAGAACCTCATCGATATCCATTAATGGTCGCCCAAAGCCCTTCTTCCTTTCCAACGTTGTATCTGCACTGCTAAATTTTTCTAACCAACACCGCACTGTGCGCTGCTCAAGGACATCTCCTTCATCTTATATATAATTTCTAAAAAGTTTTTTTTTTTTTACTCTACGCCATAACTTCATCAATTCTTCATCAAATTCAATGATTGACCACTCATTTTGAAGATATTCTCCTTCACATGCAAAATATAGTCTTACCCCCTCCCTCCTCCCCCGAAAGTTTTATGAAAAAGGTTATGAAGGAAAAGAAACTTTATTTGCAAATAAGTCAAATTTTTTTCTTGATAGTACCTATGGTAATTAGAAAGATTACTAAATTACCTATTAAAAAAAAATGTAAAAATCTGACAATTATTTACACAGATACAGTCCATTAATTTTGCTACACTTAAAAATTTCCTCTATCTTTAAAGATACTGCATTTATTATTCTACTACATTTTTTTTTTTTTTTGCTGATATATTAACTTTATTATTTCTTAAAGACATTTATTCTTACATTTTATATTTTTAATAATTTAGAAAAGCCCATGATAGAGGCTTTTTTTGCCTTTATTTTCTATCCAGTCAGCATTTAAAAATAGGCCCTAGAAAAGCAATTTGTACAAATATTTTGGTCTACTATGTTAAATGGAATATTGTTATCGACCAAGGAAAAACAATAAATTCTTCTCTTAGGTAATACATAATATCTAATTTCCATATTGTTTTGCCATTCCTTCACTAAAAAAAAAAGTCTGCGAATTATTCGCATGAACCAACTAGTATTTAATAATTTCACTAGAATAATTTCAGCAGCTGTGATATTTTTTCCCAATAATGCCTTAAAGTTATGAGAATTTCGTAGGACACTGTCATGTTTCTTCTTTGAAACAAATAAATAAACTGAGGCTTTTTTAGAAGAAGTTAAATGGGATTAAACAAGCTTAGAGAATGTTCTAAAGGGGTCATTGGGATAGTCCTATATCATTTGTGCTGACTAGCTGTTGCAAGTATAGTAATATCTTTCATACACTTTTCTAGAGCCATGTTGAACTGAGAAGAGGCTAAGAAGTCTCCTTGCCACGAATCTTCAGAAAAAAATGTTATAAGTACATTAGCTTAACTGCTCTAATGTTATGTTTTTGTATATTCTCCTTTTTCTGAAATATTTCAGTAAATATTATTTTATCCAAAAGTAAACAATATAAATAATGAAATTAGAGTAAATTCTCTTCTCAAAGGATCCTATACATTTTTTTATCTATTTGATTTTAGGGATAGAGTGAGTTTAAAAAAAATTAAATATTCAGTGTTTGTGCGTTGAGGCTTAATGATGTTAATTGCAATATGTCACAATAATTATATCTGATTTAAAGAAGTAATAAATACCAAAATATAACAGCCTTCTTTTAAGAGTATCAATTAAATTTTTCACTTTTTAGTATTTATAATGATACATATTAAAAAGTTGATTTGTGAAGTGATATTCAATTTTCTAATTCAATACACAGCATGGAATTCTTTTTCTGTGCATACTTTGTCCATATTTCTTTAAGAAATTATATATTGATATTTTGTATTTTAATAATTCACAAAATAACTTCTAGATGGCTGACTTCAATACAAAATATGCCCTTTTAAAGCTAGAAGGATACTGGAAGCAACTGTCACTGATGGGAGTACAAAAAGTTTAATCATAACGTCATTTCCTAAGGAACGTCAGCCCATAGAGAAAGAGTATACTTCCAGAAGGGCCATTCAGATCAAGAATCTTAACACATTAAAGGCGCTAATCGTAGTACTACGATTTATCTCGACTGCTGCTTAAAGGCGGGAGTCGTAGTACTTTGATTTATCTCGACTGCTGCTTAAAGGGGAGAGTCGTATTACTATGATTTATCTCGACTAGCATACTTTCGTCAAGGTCTCCCGCCTTTAATGTGTTAATAGAACTACAAACATACAATTTATTGCACAAAGTATTTGGAGATAAAAAACATGAAATTCCTAGAACCTTTCTCTCCCTTCCCAGGTAGGTAAACAGGATATATATAGCATTTCCAAGTCAATTTCAACCTTTTCCAAATCAAATTCAACCTTTTCCAAGTCAAATTAAACCTTTTCCATTTCAAATTAAACTTTTTCCAAGTCAAATTCAACCTTTTCCATTTCAAATTCAACTTTCGAATTTTTGTCAATTTTCTATTTTTTTCGAAATGAAGGCCACTTACTATATTATCGAAGGCATAGCTTTTGAAAAATACAAAAAAAATTTTGATAACGCGGTTGCATATCCATTTATTTTAACATTTTAGATTTTTTCAGTGTGATATTTCTATGTCATATTCAATTATTTCCAAGTCAAATTCAACCTTTTCCAAGTCAAATTCAACCTTTTCCAGATCAAATTAAACTTTTTCCAAGTCAAATTCAACCATTTCCATTTCAAATTAAACCTTTTCCAATTCAAATTCAACCGTTTTCATTTCAAATTAATGTTTTAATTTTTTGTAAATTTTATATTTTTTTTAAAATAATGGCCATCCCCTCCCACCCTCCAAAATGAAAGTCTATTATTATGCTCTCCTAAGTAGAATTTTCACTAACGGATATCGATTTATTGTACCTATTTAGGATTTATTAGGGACTAGTATTCTGAAGTCCTGTACCTAGTTTTGAAAATAATTTTAAGATTACGTGACTGCGTTTCGAATCATTTAAGTTTTTTTGACTTATTCGATATAAGGGTGTATTTTTATGTTTCCCGATCAGTAAATTTTGAAAATGACATCCATTTTATGTTTACGCCACTGTGTTTTGACTTATTTAAGTTTTTAGAATTTATCCAATATAAAGGTCTACTTTTATGTTTCCGGAGCCGTAGATTTTGAAAACGACCTCCATTTTAAGATTAGGCCACCGCGTTTCGATTTCTTTGAGTTTTTCGGATTTTTTTCATATGAGGATGTATTCTTATGTTTCCGGAGCCGTAGATTTTGAAAACGACCTCCATTTTAAGATTAGGCCACCGCGTTTCGATTTCTTTAAGTGTTTCGAATTTTTATCATAAAAGAGTGTATTCTTATGTTTCCGGAGTCGTAGTTTATGAAAATGACCTCCATTTTAAGATTAGGCCACTGCGTTTCGAATTTTTATCAAAAGAGTGTATTCTTATGTTTCCGGAGTCGTAGATTTTGAAAATGACCTCCATTTTAAGATTACGCCACTGCGTTTCGGCTTATTCAAGTTTTTCGAATTTATCCAATTTAAAGGTCTACTTTTATGATGCCGGAGCCTTAGTTTTTAAAACGACTTACATTTTAAGATTAGGCCACTGTGTTTCGGTTTTGTTAAGTGTTTTTGATTTTTCCTTCGAATAAAAAACAAAATACGAAGGATTAATTTATTTTTCAATAAATAAATAAAAATATCTAATCAAAATAAATAAAATATGTATTGTCTCATTTTTAATTTAATTTTAGTTATCTTTTTTAATGTTGTGGTCTCCTGCCACAAAATTATAAGATTTCGAACAATTAGCTTAAAAATCTGAATACGGAAGGTTAAATTTATTACCAGTTGCTTTTCGGCTTTTTAGTTTGTATTCTGTGGTTAATTTAACTTTAGCTTCATAATATTTATTTATTTATTCATACTCGAAAACATATTGATGAAACTTTGTATTGAAAAAATCCAAAATGAAGCCTAATTAATCGAGATGCAGCGGCTTAATCATAAAATGGAGCTTAAATATTAGATGAATTTAAATATTAAAGATTAGAAAAATTTCAATACGTCTCGGATAGCATATAAGTAGATCCTTATATCGAAAAAGTAAAAAAAAACTTTTATAATCCAAAACACAGTGGCATAAACTTGAAATTGGGTCATTTACAAAAGGGGGGAAATCTACTGCTCCAGAAACATAAAATTAGACCTTTATACTTGTTAAATTTTAAAAACTAAAATAAGTTGAAACGCAGTGGCGTAATCATTAAATATAGGTCATTTTCAGAATCTACGGTTCCGAAAATATAAAAGTTGACCTTTAAATTGGATAAATTCGAAAAACTTAAATAAGTCAAAATGCAATGGCGTAATCATGAAATGGAGGTCATTTTCAAAATGCACGGCTCAAGAAACATAAAAGTAGACCTTAAAATTGGATAAATTCGAAAAACTTAAATAAGTCAAAACGCAGCGGGGTAATCATAAAATGGAGGCCATTTTCAAAATCTACAGCTCCGGAAATATAAAAATATAAGGCAACACATATTTTATTTATTTTGATTAGATATTTTTATTAATTTATTGAAAAATAAATTAATCCTTCGTATTTTGTTTTTTATTCGAAGGAAAAATCCAAAACACTTAACAAAATCGAAACACAGTGGCCTAATCTTAAAATGTAAGTCGTTTTAAAAACTAAGGCTCCGGCATCATAAACGCAGACCTTTAAATTGGATAAATTCGAAAAACTTGAATAAGCCGAAACGCAGTGGCGTAATCTTAAAATGGAGGTCATTTTCAAAATCTACGACTCCGGAAACATAAGAATACACTCTTTTAAGATAAAAATTAGAAACACTTAAAGAAATCGAAACGCAGTGGCGTAATCTTAAAATGGAGGTCATTTTCATAATCTACGACTCCGGAAACATAAGAATACACTCTGTTATGATAAAAATTCGAAACACTTAAAGAAATCGAAACGCGGTAGCCTAATCTTAAAATGGAGGTCGTTTTCAAAATCTACGGCTCCGGAAACATAAGAATACATCCTCATATGAAAAACATCCGAAAAACTCAAAGAAATCGAAACGCGGTGGCCTAATCTTAAAATGGGGGTGGTTTTCAAAATCTACGGCTCCGGAAACATAAGAATACACCCTCATATGAAAAAAATCCGAAAAACTCAAATAAGTCGATAATCCAAAACACTTAACAAAATCGAAACCCGGTAGCCTAATTTTAAAATGGAGGTCGTTTTCAAAATCTACGGCTCCGGAAACATAAGAATACATCCTCATATGAAAAACATCCGAAAAACTCAAAGAAATCGAAACGCGGTGGCCTAATCTTAAAATGGAGGTCATTTTCATAATCTACGACTCCGGAAACATAAGAATACACTCTGTTATGATAAAAATTCGAAACACTTAAAGAAATCGAAACGCGGTAGCCTAATCTTAAAATGGAGGTCGTTTTCAAAATCTACGGCTCCGGAAACATAAGAATACATCCTCATATGAAAAACATCCGAAAAACTCAAAGAAATCGAAACGCGGTGGCCTAATCTTAAAATGGGGTGGTTTTCAAAATCTACGGCTCCGGAAACATAAGAATACACCCTCATATGAAAAAAATCCGAAAAACTCAAATAAGTCGATAATCCAAAACACTTAACAAAATCGAAACACAGTGGCCTAATCTTAAAATGTAAGTCGTTTTAAAATCTATGGCTCCGGAAACATAAAAGTAGACCTTTATATTGGATAAATTCTAAAAACTTAAATAAATCAAAACACAGTGGCGTAAACATAAAATGGATGTCATTTTCAAAATTTACTGATCGGGAAACATAAAAATACACCCTTATATCGAATAACTCAAAAAAACTTAAATAATTCGAAAAGCAGTCACGTAATCTTAAAAAGGAGGTTATTTTCAAAAACTGCTCATACGAAGCAGACCCACACATCGAAAAATTAAAGATAATTAAATAAATAAAAAAAGGTTGAATTTGAAATGGAAAAGTTTTAATTTGACTTGGAAAAAGTTTAATTTGATTTGGAAAAGGTTGAATTTGACTTGGAAAAGTTTGAAATTGACTTGGAAATGCTATATAAATAATCGAAGGATAAACAAAGAAATTGATACACATTCTTCTCTTGAAAAGGAAAAAAATATTGTTTAATACATTACTAAACAAAATAAATTTAAACATATTTTCGTATAGCAAAAATAAATATTCCATAGTGTGAAAAGTAAAAACTTTGCATCTTGGTTACACATAGTTTTGTATTCTATTTCTTTAGACTGTTATTTAATCAGCAATGAAAACAGAAAAAATTTTTAGATTTGTAATTGAAACATAAATTAGATCAATATCAAAGTAATAAAATATCCAGTAAGAAATTAAATTATATTTAGCAGATAAAAGCTGAGACTATATTTAAATGTCTCCCGCACCCTTATTGAAATTTTTTACTTTCTCTTACATATATATGTAATATATAGCAAGGGTAAGTATTACAATCGAGAAAATTTTTGAATCTGAGTTTTCAGCTGAAATACACATTTTGGGGTACCCTGAGTCCAACTAACCAAGTCCCAAAAAATTGTCTGTGTGTGTATGTTAGCAGTCTAGCTCAAAAACGAAAAGTCGTACGAAACTGATATTACGTCTTTAAGATAGGTATATGCATTAGATGTGACAGCAACGTTTTCCTTAAAATCGGCTAACCAGAAGTGCCATTTAATCAACGTTGAAACACATTTTTACAATTTTCTTAAAAATGGCTTTAACAATTTTGATTAAACTCGGTGTATCATTGTATAAGGATGTGGTCTTTAATACCAATCAGGTCTTATCCCTATTGATGTCACTTTACAGGGCTTAAATAATGTTAGTATACGTAATGTAGTATACAGTAGTAGTAAATGTTCATATACGTTTTCCTCTAAAGTACCTTTAATATGGTTTATTTTAAAAAGTTAATCATCTCTCATTATTACGAAAAAATACTAAATATAACTTATGAAAGAATTTGATAAGTTAAAAAAGGAGAAAAAAATAAAAATGCTTATCCTGGTCGAAAATGAATCTCCGGAAATATCAGTCAGAAGGTATATGTATAATATATTTTTGGAAAGCGGAGAATTTTAGAAAAAAACAATATCTAATAAAGAAAGTTGTAGAAGATAACGGAAAGTGGCAAAAAAATTATAAATGATAATTTTTGAAAACTATTAATATTTAACGTAAATCACATGTTTTCAAGGAAATTAAATGAAATTTAGTTACTAAATATAAACTTTTAAAATATTGTTAAGTTTGAAAAAAGTATTTAAAATCCACCTAATCAAGGCAATGACATTGTTTAAAATACTATTTCATTCAAGACAAAATTTTTGAAAAAATAAATTTGTTTTATTTTATGATGAAATATATCAATTCATAATTTTTGGATATTGTTGGGTGAAATGTTTTTATCAAAATTATATAAAAAATGTTAAATAGTATGAGAAAAAAATGGATGTTTCAGAACAAAATGGACTTATACAACCACTTTTGAACATTGTTTTCAACCCAATGGTTTTTTCGTTTTGTTTTTTGTCCTCAACAGGTCTTCAGGACTACCATCAAAATCAACAGTTTTTGTAATCGCACATTCAGTTTTTCCTTCAGTCCATAACGTGCCAAACCGTCCTTCCAAACCAGTCATGAACCCCCAGCTTTACAAAACTCTTTCCTGGCTCCTCTAGTATTATACCTAAGTATTCTTATTTTGCTTCATTTTTTGCATCAGTCACTTCTAAGTTCTTTGAGTTCTAACATCTTTTCTGCCGACTTCATCATAACATTTTAAATTTTTTTAATCAAATATTAATTTAATATGTAGGAACAGCATATAAGAAAAATACTGTACAAATGTATTGGGAAAAGGTTTTTATATTTCAACTATAAGTAACAAATTTCGAAAGACATTTATTTCTTATTATTTCTACATTGTAGTATGATTCAACTTTTCAAAAATATTCATCATATCTTATATTTTAAATCATAATTTCTGAATATTAATACTTGAACTAACAGTATTCAAGAATAATTATCACAAAACAATGTTTTACAAAATTATTTTTTAATTAATAAGTTTCAATTGTTGAATTCTTTCACACTGATTATATCAGTCTTATATAAATATTTAAAAATTTGTTCCATACAACCTTCAGTGTTCACATCATCTTAAAATCAATAATTTTAACTAATTCATACATTATTTTTATTTATTTTTTACTAATAACATTTGTCATACAATAATAAATTAATTTTTTTTAATATAATAACAAAAGATGATTAACTGACTAGAGCCATATCATTTGGCATTTAATACTATATTATGATTTATTTTTCAAATAACTTAAATGGTTGACAAATATTAATTCCTCAATCTTCCTCCATTAAACAAATTAACAATAGGTAAACAAGAGAGGATCTTTATATATGCAGGCCTATAATAATAACCATTTGTTATTGAAATAAAATGAACTTATGAATTAGTTTACATTATTAAAAGAATAAAATAAATTAAATTGTCTGAAGTTATTTAGATAAAGAAGGTTTTCCTCTCTTTGAGTGTGACCTCCCAGCTTAAGCTCTTCCACAAGATTAATCTTAAGTTGTCTTCCTATAGCTACTAATGAGAACCACTGATTATATAATAGCTGCAGACAAATATACTGTATAATCAAATATGACTACAAATTGTAAATGTAAAACATTCTAAGACAAATTTTTAACATTTTATAAACATTTTATTATAAATGCTGAACAGTCAGCAGCAACAGGTCGATAATCTATCACTTGTGGAGGAAAATAAATGCTAGATGTATAAAATAATTATTTATTAATTAATTAATTAAAGTAACAAAATGTTTAAAAAACAGAGTTTTTTAAATTTTAGCACAACTTTAATTTTATTGATATGGATAAAAAACTTTTTTTTTAAAAAGAAAAGTTAAACATTTTTCGTGCTTCCTTTTCCTTCTTTATCTTTAAATTTGCAGCTCACTTGATATTTGTTTTTCATGGTCCTTGTTCACATAAGTCAAATGTTTATATTTATTAATTACTTCTAAAATGATTGTTTATTTTAGTAGGAAAATCAGAAGAGTGACAGATTATTGACATTTTAGTCTGTTAATGTCTAATTAATTCAAAAAATTATGTTTTCTTATTGCATCTACCTTGATTTCTGTACTACAATTATTCAAAAGCTTTTACATAATTTACTACCTTCTTAAGGACAAACTTTTTGTGCACTTATGATAATTAGCAATATTTTTATGAATGATGAACACTCACTGTTCATCAAGGAAAATTTCTAAAAACATAAAGTTAAATGTGAAGCTGCCAACAAAAATTATAAACATAATGTATTAAAGATAAGATAAATTAAATGCTAAAACAAGTAAAAAAATATTTAGCTTTTATTAACACACATAATTGTTCCAATCAATGGCTTAATTTTTTTATTCTGCTTAAAATTGGATTTTGTTTTTATCACTACTATTTACATCTCATAACTCTTTCTTCCTCTAAAATACGTTAATAAAACCTGGTAAATAAATTTAATAGAACCAATCCTAAAACTACTATTGTAGGAACAACTGTAGAACTGCCTGAAGTTTCGCAAAAATCTCTGTTACATCTTGATGGGTCTATTTCAGATTTAAATGTTGAATATATATAAGACCAATCGCACAGTCCCACTTTGCATCTCTCGTATTCAACATATTGTTCATTTAGGAAGAACATGACTCTATACTGCTGGTCGGCACACCTTTAAGATAGCATTAAATTTTCATTAAGGCAGAAACAAATGAACAATAATTAAAATGAAAGTTAACAAATTATTTTCTTATATTAATACTTTCATTTTTCATACTAGATAAATAATGAAAAATGTTAGATACTTATATAATTTCTTAAAACTGAAATACTATATTCTACTTTTCCAAAAGCAGTTGAACATCTGTTTTTCAAACTTTATTTACCCATTATCTCTAGATACCCTCTTTTTATTAGGACCCATGGAAAATAAAAAACACCATAAATGCAATTACATATATACATTTTTTCTTTCTGGTTGGCACGATATACCATCTTTGAGCATATGATATGGTCTTCTTATAGACACATATTGCTTGCGGGTGCACAGACAGCCTGGAGGGAGTCGCCCAACCTGATGCTGCTACAGATCATGGTACAGTGGCAGGTCACCTTAGCTCCATAGCTGGTTCTTTTGGGACCAATCTGACATGGGTGAGTGGCCAAGTGGGTTAATGAATGTAAAAAACATGTGTTGTCTGGCAACGTGAAAACCGAAGATTAGAAGATAAAATAATTCCGAGCTTGGGTCCCGATTTTAACTCTGGCAAAAATCCCTCCGCTCTCACTCCTGATCCTGACCTAATCTGGCAGTGTCCTTCCCAGGGAATCCCTCTGGTTCAAGTGCAGTGAGAAATCGGTCTAGATCCTTGGATTATGGCTGATCTATATTTCCTTCCCTGGAATCTATAGACCAAAACCGTTTGTGGGCTAATAACATCCTGAAAAAAAACAAAACGGGGGGGACTGAACACCCCAACCAATTTCTTTTCAATATATCCTGGACAGTCAACTATCAATCCACTATTATTTATATTTTGGTTTTACCAGTTTTTTTTTTTTAATCTGTCCTTAATTTTATGTTTTGAATTAGTTTGTTTTTCTAGTTTTTTAAATATAATTGGGCAATAAATTTTTTATTTTTTTTGTAATATTCAGATATTAGTTCCATACCTTCTTTGTTTCACTCTTAAAATGTGGAGGAGACAAAAAAAAAAAAAATGCTAATTTATCACAAAACAGCTACATTATAAACTTATTGAACTTTAAAAAATGTAAACAATATTGATATATTTTATTCCTTATAAAATATAGATAGTTGAAAAAAAACCTGTACCACTACAACCCATGAAGGGTCTTGGGTTCAGTACTATTTAGGGAAAGTACTGTTTCAAGGCCTACGTTTGTGCAGGTTTTTTCCCTTAATCAATTATTTAATTAAGGATACCCACTTTATAGAGGCTGGGTATGTCCCAGGAGGGTCTCACTACCCCAGGGTTGCCCCACGGCCAATGAAACAATAAATAATTTCTCCGCCGTGAGCCGGGATTCAAACCTGGGACCTTGAGCACCGTAAGCTTAGTGCCCTACCACTGAGCTACCCCGCTCCCATAGATAGTTAAGAAAAGTAAAATAAAATGAGAAATATGATGATTTTTAATTTCTAATAATTTATAAAACTTCCAATGATATGAAATCTTCCACGACAAATTTCATTTGTGTATCAGAATTGCAGTTTTTATTTAGAAATCTAAACTTATTGGGTTGAAATAATTATGTTTTTTCTCCTCATCTAAATCTTGTTATTTTAATATATGTTTTTGTTTTAATTCTGAATTGATATATTATATTCATGGTTTAGATTAAATTATATTCAAGTTTCATTAGATTATATTTTAATCTAAATTGATTCGATGTAAGAAAACTATATTAAATATAGCCATTAGAGTTCATTTTTGAAGTAGTTGTGATTCATTCCACTATTCTGCTAACCCACTTCCATGGTAATCTGGACTCCTTAATTTCTATAATTGTATAAACTGCTTCTGAAATATTTATGACTCTTCTAGCAATCACTTAAACATAGATCTTTACCCTCTTGACTAAAAGACAAGAAGTAGATATTATATATAATAATGAGAAGCTGACTCAGACTGATTCTGCAACATACTTGGGTATACAATTAGACTGCAAACTTACTTGGAAGTACCATTTAGATAAATTAATTGAGCAAGGAGAAGGCAGATTAAGCTTGCTAAAAAGACTGGCAGGAATTATATGGGGCGCTCACGAAGAATTACTAACCCTGACATACAAGTCATACATTAGACCAGTAATGGAATATGGTGGTGAGATATTATTGACTGCATCAGAAAACTCACTGCATGCCTTGGATGTGGTGCAAAACAAGGCTTTGAGACTTATTACAGGGGCTGCAAAATCCACACCAATTACAGCTCTTGAGCTACAAACGGGAATAGAACCACTTCAAACAAGGAGAGAAGTAGCAGCAATCTGCCTTTCAGAGAGAAAGAAAAGACTAGGTTTGAAGTACTGGGCTGCTCAAGAAACATCTGTCCAGCGCCTCAAAACGCAAAAACCACTAAGAGTAAAAGTTAAAAGACCTACTGGAAAGAAAACACATAGATCTAGGCATGAGTCTGCCATTTAATAAATGCAATGACCATCAAAGATTTATTGCAGAGGCACGGCTAGATCTAACACAACCAGTAAGGAAACACCAAACACCTGAGTGGGAATTGAAAGCGCTTGCTTTGGAAACAATAAATAGCCGCTACTCCGAGCAGAACTGGCTCCACGTATACACCGATGGCTCCGCTCAAACAGCTACGCGGAATGCAGGAGCAGGAGTATACTGCCAAGATTTCATGTTATCCATCCCTGCTGGTAGCCGGGGAACAAACTTTGATGGAGAAGTCAAAGCCATTTCGGCAGCATTGACTGCAATAGATAAAGAACTCACCTATTCCCGAGTTGTGATCTTTGTCGATTCACAAGCAGCCATACTGTCAATCTGCAATGGCCTGGACCATCCTGATGTCACTAGTGCCAGAAATCGGATTAATGACTTAATTAAAAAAGGAATCCGAGTGGCTTTCCAATGGGTTCCAAGCCATTGCGGGCTACCAGGAAACGAAAAAGCTGATGAGCTCGCACGGATCGCCTCGGAAATGCCACAAACTAATCCCCCGCTGCCCTACGAATCTGTTAAAAGGATTTTAAAATCATTTTACAAGGAAGAGAATAAGAGTTGGCAAAAGCGACAGGCAGCGGGGAAAAAATGGGAATGTTTAACAGAGGAGCCGATGAAACAAACCAAAAATAGGAAAGAATCGGTGGCAAACTTCCGCATGGCAACAGGGCACGATTACCTGCAAAGGCATTTACATAGGATCGGAGTGGTGGAAAGTCCTGTGTGCCCTCTTTGCCAACAGGACGAGATGTACGACCTGCACCTCCCAGTTAGCCCCGCTCTGTCAGATGTCCGCAGTACTTCTGATGGGATCGGAACAAATAAAAACAAATGGTTCATGGCGGAGTTGTATTGGGCTGCCAGAAGCCGAATGGCCTAATAGCCAACGGCAGAGGCGTTTAATAAAAAAAAAAAAAAAAAACTTAAACATAGATGTTTTGATCTTAGATTTCATTCCGGCAGAACAAAATCACCTACATTTTCGTTCCGATGATGGAATCTGTTCCGCCCGAAATGACCCATTCCTACTCACATGTATTCTTATGTTTAGGTAACATTATTACTGAGACGCTACAGATTAAATGCATGAGTGAGTGGGTATAACAACTGTATATAACAAGTAATAATTACTGGATTATTATACATATGTTTTTTAATGAGGGTAAATTGTTATACATCATAACGGTGGAGAAACAGTTGACTGTAGATAATATGGTTGAGGGTTGCATTCCGTGGGACTCTTATCCCCCAATCATGTTATATATCTAGTTTGACTTACTTGTACAACACTGCTATCAAATTGCCAGCAAATGGAGTAAGGAAAGCAGTTCTCCATTGTCTTTTTTCACTTGTACTAAAAGTGTCTGCAGTGATTGGATTGTTGTCTTTGGCTATACCAAGTTTAATGAGAGCTGCCCTTACTGTAATTGAATGAGCAAAATTGAAAACAGCTGATGGTCCTGTACTTTCTTCTGTAGTGTTAACCAGAGTACGACTAAAAATTAATATTAATTTTGATTAAGCAACATGATTTTTATATTTAAAAGATAAATAAAGATGAAATATTACAGCCACTACATACACTCTTACTCATTGTTTTACAATAAGGTATTTCCTACCAAATTTTAAAACAATTTTTTTATTTTTAAACAATAGAAAAAATGAGTAACTGATAGTAAAGAAATAAATTATTTAACTAAAGCACAATACACCACTGTCTTAAAGAATAGAGTTTACAGATCGGTTAACACTTTTATGTAATAAAGTTCCAAGTTTATGGTAAAAGCTTATCTTTTATTTATTCAAGTTCTAAAAAAAGTTCTTTTTAATGAAAAATAAACAGTAATTGTACTTATATTAGAGTTATAATTTGTCTTAAATGAATTAAACATGATTCTAATGCGTCTTATGTTTGAATAGCTATGAATAGAAGTCATTTTTTAGATCAACATTTTAGCAAAACCCTTTTTAATAAAAGCCTTTAAAAATAAAAGGTTTGTTATATCTTTACTTGAAAAGTTGCAAGGGAAAAAGTTTTAGTTCCAAAAGAACTGAAAAACCATTGACAATAAAAATTCTAATGATTCCGAAACTTTTTAAAAATGAACATTTTTTTTTTTCGTTTCAAGTCCTGATTCAGAGAATAGTTTAGATCCTTTGTAGGTTATTAAGAGGACTGATTTTTATGTAAGTCATTTTTTTTTCTAGTTGTTCTAATCATAATATTAGTCTTATTTTAAAAGATTATTTGGAATATTTATATGTTTTTGCAAGAACCCAGGAAGTAGTGAAAAAATAGTAAGTACATATTTTTGCATTTTGGTATGACAATTTTTTTTAATCATAAAGGTAGCTCAAAATTCATTTTTATATGGAATAACGGAATTTTACATAAAATATTTTACATTCTGGAGTACATATGTCAAAAATTCCAACTTTCCAGAAGGATGGCTAGAAAATGAGAAAACGTTGGCAGTACACCATGGATTTATTTTCTATTTTCAGGCAAAGCAATAGCTGATTGATTTACTGATATAGGATTAATGTACTGGTAATAGACACTTTAAGACATTTTTAACATTAATGTGAACCACAGCTTTAATTCTGATGGTGGATCTTTGCGAATGGGTTTAATTGAAAGCAAATTTAATCTTTTATAACATTTTTTGTAAATATATACACTCAATTAGTTAATTATTCATGGAAAACTTAATGATTTCTGGTAATGTATTTAGCATTAGTAATGGTTATTTTGGTTAATTGATTTTTTATATGATTGAATTAACCCACAGTTTTAAAATAAGAAATAAAAAACCCCAGATGAATGAATAACAATTTCTAATTTATCTCCTAAAGAAATGTAATTAGGAAACCTCCTCGAAAAAAACCCCTGTCTTGTTTTATTAAAAAATCAATTATCAATCAGCTATTTTGGCATGATATCACTTGGGGTTTAGGAATCACTCTCTTAAGTGCTTTAACTGAGAATCTACTCATATTTGCACTCTCTTTTTGGTGGATAAAGCTCATTATCTGTTAATGAATTGAAAAATGGCTATTATTAGTACATTTACCTAAGTAATTATTTTGTAAATAAGATAATATCACAGGTACTTACTTATTAAGGGTTTCAATCATATCTCTGATCAACGGACAACCTAACTTGGCAGTAAATGGATTACCATATCCAGAACGATAGTAGTAATCCAAGTCCTCATCATACTCCATTACCTGTTCAATTAAAATATATTAATTAAACTAATAATTTCGTTGCATACATATACATATAAAATGTGGTACTAACTCATTAAAAATGAATAATTATTTTACTGCTAATGATAAAAAGAGCTTATATTTTTCCAGATGATAAAAATTCTTTGACTGTAATGTTCTTAAATTCTTTGATCCTAGAATTTTAAAATACTTGGAAATATCATCAGTTTGTGGCAATAAGTTATGAAGTAATGTTGTAGAAAAATAAATTCGTATGTACTTTGATGAATAAATATTTTTACAATAAACATGATCAAAATTTACGAATATGTACTTAAAAGTATGAGTCTATCAAAACATATTAACTCTATTAACATATTAAATGAATATTTTGTAAATGTACTTTAGTGATGTATACCTGTTATACATGTATCAATTAAGTACATAGAATGCTTTATCAAGATATAGTCATTATAACTCTGGGCAATAAGTCGTGGCTATAATGAATAATATAGGACATGAAGTTAATTAACCATTGCTTTTCACCACTTTGCATTATCTTTTGTTGGTTCAATTATTGTGTATATATATTTAACCTAATATATCATGGACAAATTAGATATACATATATACATCCAAAAATATTTTATTTTTAAAATTTCGCCAACATAGCAGAAGAAATGTTATTAATTTACTTAATAACAATGAACCACTATTTTATTAGGACATTAATACTTTAAGAATTATATACTTAAGAAATGCTTATGTGCAATGAATATAATATATTTTTATTTAATATATATATATCAACAAATATTTTATTTTTGAGAACTTCCCCAACTCTTTGAAATGTTTATTACTATACTTATTAATGATGATATACTATTTTAATAGGACATAAACATTTTAAAAATTATTAACTTAAAAATTGCTTATGAATAATAAGCAAATAAACCCTTCCTTTTTCATACCTATATTACTAAAGCTAGTATTTCACAGAATTATTGTAAAGGACATTTGGTAATTAATACAGTATTATATAATTAAATTTTATAACAAAATAGAAAATATATAGTTTACCTTCAGATGTTGTTTTTCAAAAGCAGAACACCATGGAGAATGAACTTTGAAGTTCCATGCTTTATCAAAGCGACACATATCGTATAGGTCATGCATTGCTTCTAAAATTATTATATAATTCTTAGAAGCATATAAATAAATTATGTTCAATTTTTAGCTTTAAACCACAAAATCTAATAAGTAAATAAATATCTAATTAAAATGAGAACTACAATAAGCAATTTGTTCCAAATTATATTCCTGATATTTTATTTAATGCTAAGCATTTATCGCAAAAATCAAGATTATTTTGTATGAGGTATTAGAATGTTAGTGATGTAAGTAAATTTTTCTTTTTGTCCAGAAAATGAATGTTTTGAATATGTACTTTAGTGATTTATACCTGTTGTACATATATCAATTAAGTATATACTATATCATTAAAATATATTTATAAAATTTTCACTTTCTGGACAAAATGCAAAATTTACATACAAAACTATTATTCTATTCTCCTCTTTTGGTTTTATCTGCACATATGAAAGCAAAATACCACTTGCTTACTTACTTAGTGGTCACTGTCTCAAAAACAACTGTGCTTATGATGCTCTGATATATTGAATGATAGTTCTACTTAAGACTGTTACCAGTGTAAATTAAAACATAATGGTAGATATGAAATATTTGTGAGTGAAACCATGGGTAGCAGCTCATTAAAATATTTTTTGTGTACAAAAAACAAAATTGGATTGCACCACTGTTATTCCAATCCCCTCGTATAATAATTTTACCTAAAAGTTAGTAAGTAAACATAAGCTGCATACATTAGCTTTAGACAATGCTCACGAAACTGTAATTGTCTAATTACCACTTCTTTACCTCCACTTGAAGCTGTAAGTAGAGTTGTGGGACAGACAGCCGCAGCCATATACTGTTTAACACACCTGTTCTCAAAAATGTTCTTTTATTTTAATTTTTGGAAAATCCTTGTTAGATCAAAACATTTCCCGTTCAATTAACTTGACCCAATGTTCTAAATTTCACTCACTAAAGCCTTGTAATAATTTTACACTAACATCTATCTTTCACTCTCATTTGAAAATAATACTGACCTAAAGATGGTCTTTTGGACAGAACAATAGCACCTAAGGATCAATTTGCTAAACTATTTCCACATACTTCTTTGATTCTTATAAATTCTGCCAAAAATGTGACTTTTTATTAAATTTTTAAACATTAGGAAATTCCTCGAAAACAATTCTTCGACAATACTATTGAATACAGGAGAAAACACACATTTCAGTTCAAAGAGTAATAGTTTTTCAACAATCGATCTAAGTTTTTCTGATGTCAGGTACGCACCAAAAGTCAGAAAATGGATGACAAAGGGACATTTATACGAAAGTGACCACTTCCCAATAATTATCGACACATCGGAGATATTTAACAACACACCGTCAAACATTCGATGGAACTATGATAAGGCAGATTGGGAAACATTTGGCAAACTAGTAGATGAAGCATTGCATAAAACACCAAAGTATTGGAAAATAGATGAAAAAGTGGCTGCGTTGAGTGAACTACTTCTAAAGGTGGCAACGAAAACAGTTCCAACCATCAAAAATAACCTAAAACATCATAACGTACCATGGTGGAATAACCAATGTAGCGATGCTATTAGAGCAAAGAAACATGCCCTCAACCGATTCAGGAAAAGTAGAACGATACAAGATGCTATAGAATTCAAAAGACTAAGAGCAATAGCTAATTGAACAATTAAAAGTAGCAAAAAGGATTCTTGGAAACACTTTGTATCTTCGCTAAATAATCTTACTCCTGTGACTGAAGTTTGGAACAAGATTCGAATCATCAGAGGAATTGGAAAGAGACAGATAATTGCTGGAGTAGAAGTCAATGGGCATGCAATAACTAATCCTCAAGACATCGCTGAAAGTTTAGCTAAGCATTTCAGAGAAATATCTTCCTCGAGCTATGACCACTCCAAAAATTATAACTCGGAAACACATCAAAAATACCGCTTAGTGCCGAGTGAATTCGAAGGAGCTAGAGAACCGTTTCTTATGCAAGAACTAAAATATGCTCTACAAAAGTGCAGTGGAAGGTCAGCCCCTGGATTAGATGGAATTACCGGAGAATTCTTGAAATATTTACCCGAAGAAGGAAAAATACACCTATTGGGGATCTACAACGAAATCTGGAACAGCGGCAAGTTTCCTTCCTGTTGGAAACAATCAATTATAGTACCCATTCAGAAAAAAGAAAATAGTATCAAACCGAATGACTACAGACCCATCTCATTAGTCTCATGGGTTTCAAAAATCTTAGAAAAGATGGTAAATACAAGACTTATTGATGCGCTGGAAAATAACAATGCTCTCTCTCCACAACAGTTCGGATTCAGAAGAAACCGCTCAACAACGGATTCCGTATTGTCATTAAGCCTAGAAGCCGAAGAGGCTTTCTTACATAAAGAGCATTTAATTGCTATATTTTTAGATCTAGAGAAGGCTTATGACACAATGGCAAGAGAACGTGTCTTAACAATCCTGGAAAGGTTAGGTATAGGAAGGAATATGTGGACGTATATCCTAAATTTTTTGACTGATAGAAAATTTTTTGTGCGAGTAGGAAACACTATGTCCTCGAGTTATTCCTTGGAAAATGGAACTCCGCAAGGTTCACCACTCAGCGCGACACTGTTTCTTATAGCAATAAATGAAATCACGTCCACAATCCAGACCCCCATTAAATGTTTTCTATTTGCTGATGACATAGTTATTTCAGTTCGGGGCAAATCTCTAGCATTTATCCAATGGAAGCTGCAAGACGCGATAGAAAGAATAGAAAATTGGTCAAAAGAAGCAGGATTCAAACTATCAGCTTCCAAAACCAAAATTATTCATTTTTGTAGACAACGAAAATGTCGCCATAATCCACAAATAGTATTAAGGGGCACTACTATCGATTATGTCGACAAATATAAATATTTGGGAATGATAATAGACAACAAGCTATCATGGGTCCATCACATCAAATATTTAAGAGACGAATGCACAAAAAGGTTAGGACTTCTTAAGTGCATTGCTCATTCAACTTGGGGAGCTGATAGACTAACATTAATCAAAATATACCATAGTGTAATTAGGAGTAAAATTGACTATGGAGCTCAAATATATGGAACAGGCAACAAGACGTCACTAAAAATGCTAGATTCCATCCACAATTCGGCTCTTAGAATCTGTACAGGAGCCTTCCGAGCTTTTCCAGTCGAAAGTATATATACCGAATCTGGAGAACCTTCTCTAGAGATGAGACGAAAATACTTATCAATGAAATATATTTCAAAATTGAAAGCACATCCACAGCACCCATTAGCTTCAAAACTGTTTATTGAGGAATCTGAAAAGCACGGGCTCAAAGACATAGAAGGAAACAAATTTAAATTGATGGTTTATCAAACGTTGTGTGATACAAGCATAGATCTGAACACAATAAGACCTATACCTGATCTCAAACTCCCTTGCTGGGAGAAATTCAGACTGTCTGTAGACATATCGATGACTCAATATTCCAAAGAGTGTCCTCTAGAAATACAAACTTATTTCTTTCGATTACTAGAAAGATATAAAGGTTATAAGGTCATTTACACCGACGCCTCTAAAGCAGAAAACAACATTGGTTGCGCTGTCCATACAACCGATAACCAGCTACTATTCAACATACCAAGAGAGAGCTCCATATTCAGTGGAGAAGCGATTGGAATAATGAAGGCCCTTTATTGGATATCGAATTCCAAAGATAGAAAATGGATCATAGCAACCGACTCCAAAAGCGTTTTGGCGGCCTTAGATAACCCATGGCCTAACAACTCTCTCATTAGAGAAATAATAAACATATTGTGGGAGATGAGAAAAAGATCAGTATGTGTGGTCTTTATCTGGGTTCCATCCCATAGCGGCATAATGGGTAATGAAAAAGCAGACCAAGCTGCTCATTTAGCGAGAAAGGGAGAGCTATCAGGCATAACAACAATAAATCACATCACCGTTGAAGATTGGATCCATGAAGCAAGAAAAAACCTATTTAAAAATTGGGAAGACCAATGGAAAATACAACGAGCCAAACTAGTCGAAATAAAAACCGAGTACAACACATGGACTACAAGCTTCAGAAAATCCAGAAGAAAAGAAATAATATTGTGCCGGATGCGAATCGGACACTGTCTTTTCACACATGGATACCTACTTAGAGGACTCGAAGCGCCAACCTGCGAAAACTGTGACAATACACCTCAAACAGTTAAACATCTACTATTAGAGTGCCCCCAATATAAAAAAAAGAGACAACAATTAAAGTTATCGACAACATTGAAAGATATTTTGGGAGACAAGGAGGAAAATATCTTCATTCTCTTTCAATATTTATTGGAAACAAATTACTATAGTAAAATATAAAAATTGAGAAAAACCGCCAATGACCCTCTAGGGTAGAGGCGAATACAAATAAAAAAAAATTTTACTCAAATGGAAAACAAAAATTTTTCATCAGATTCTGTCATTCTATTTTTTTTTTTTTTTTAAGGTGTTGGCTCTTAAAAGGATTTAAAAAGATCCAACCTTGTTAGCTAATGTTCTAGCTGAAGGAGCATTATTTTTATCCGTATTAAATACCTCTAATACATGATAAACCAAGTATAAAAATATTTAAAATATCAAAAATTTGTAAAAGATTGTTAATAAAAAAAAGAAAATGTCATTTATGAATTCTAGTGACAGAACAGGAAATGAAAACATAAATCTAACAGGTCGCTAGGTCTTCCATTCAAAGAAACAATTAATTGCACTCTGAGTCTAAGCTTAGATCTGATACTTTTTTTTTATAGTATAGGAGTAATGGTTATTTATAATTTAGTATGGTAATCTCTATCTAGTGAAATATCTATATAAAAATATCATGAATTTCATTATGAAAAAATAAAAGAGAGATTGAGAGAGAGAAATAATTTATTTAATCAGTGCTGCCCTACTACAAAGGGTTGCCTGATTGCATCAATCCTTATTTGGATATAGCTCTTAATTATCTTTGAATATATATACACACATACATATTCTTTTTCCTATCTCTCATTATATATAATATTAATACTATACTAACATAATCACTATATTATACAATATATATATATATATATTGCAGTTAAACCGATATAACAAAAACTCTGAAATTTCCAAAAAAAGAAATTTGAATGCCAAACTTGATATTTGGCAAGATTGTATCATTTAAAACAAACTGATTTAAAAAGTTATATGCAATATGATTAAACTATAAATACAAATATTGAATAAGCAACAACTTACGGTAAGTCAAGTTATACCGGAAACCCAATCTTTTGCTTACAAAAGAGACTAGGGATTTCATTAAGTGACTGCTTCTAAACTTTGTAGTTTCTCTTTTTAAACCTTCACTTTGTGTGCTGCTCTTCCAAACTGAGCAGTTATGATTTGGCTGAAAGAATATTTTAGAATATATTACCATTAAAATGTTTTAATATCTGAAAATTATTTAAGTATAACCTAATTAAGTTTTTAATTAAATAATTTGTGTTTTATAACTATCATATATTAGGGTTAAATGAACTCTGTCAACTTTTTAATAAAACGTAATGATTATTATTTTTTTCTTAGTAATTATATAGGTGGGGTATTTTAGAAATAAAATAATAGTAAGTGATACTGTTTTGATAGTCGTATGATGTGCATCATGTATTATGTAGAAAAGAGAGTGTCCAAGCATGCAATGCTGTTACTGATTATTTCAGTAGAATAGCTCGTCTCTCGTAACCAATTACTAAATTTTGTAGGAAAGAACTCAAAATGAAGAAGTTACAATAGAAGCATGATAAAACTATATTGATAGAGTTATCTGATGGTCTCTTAGCTCTAACTTTCATTACAGTATTGTAATATCCTAAATTCTTAAAACATAATAATGTTTGTCATAATAAATATTAATTATAAGTATGCTTAATATAGAGATGGAATGTTTTTCAATATTTTCTTAACAGGAAAACTAGTTGCCCAAGGTTACTGTCCCCATTGCAATTTTGCTATTAATTTAGCTATAACTTTGTCTGAAACTTTTGTTGCATAATGTGTAACTAAACCCTAAAAAGAGATGATTCCTTCTTTCTCCAGTGACATTTGAAAAAATAAGAACTTGTCTGATGCAAATAGATAGTGTACATCAAGAGCGCATGTCACTTGTTATGAATTAAAAAGGAAAAAGTTTTAAAATAATTAATTTTAGTCTATTAATAAAGAAATTGTATTAAAGGAATATTGGATTAAAATAATGTCTAATATAAACAACTTAGGAAATAAATTTAATTGTTTCAGGAGGAGGAGGATGTCATTAACTGGGGGCCCTGAATGTCTAAAGCTGGTACTGCAAATAAATAATTAATGATTAATAATAGCTGAAAATAGCTGAGACTTAAACATAATCGTTTACTCGGTCGAATATAAAAAAATTAGTTATTTACCTACATTTTTATTTACTACTTTGGGTATTTAAAACATGACAAATGTCTAACTAGGCATCTTACATGATTACAACAAAAAATGAGCCATTTAAAGTTGAGATTAAACGATTTGTTTTTATTACCTCCAACAGTTCATCGTCTATGAAGCTTTCCGAGAGACCAATAGGACTTCCGAAAAGTTCTGTCGTGAATGCTTCAGCACTTTGCTTCGTCCTTTCTTTTGAAGTGTATCGGATCTGAAAATTAAAGTGGAACCTCAATTCCTTTATATCTTACTGAAAACAATAGTAGCGATACATTTCTATTGAAAAAGTAGCTTCACCTTAAATCGGTCTTCCGTATAATGTGCATTTAGTATATCAGGGAAGTTGCTCCTTAATCTTTTGGCAAGTAGCTGGAGTTCTGTGACACCTGATTGCGTAAGAAGATCGGCTTCGGACATGTTCACGTTATATGACCACTCCTTCAGTAAGTCAATGTCTTCATTGCACATGTCTATGTCTAAAAAAAAAAAATAATAATAATAAATAAAATATAGAAAAAAATTAAGACAAAGAGGAATAAATAAGCCGTTGATAACAACTTAATAGATCCATGACTCAAGGGTAGAAAGATATAAGAAGAGTTGCCGCCGATTGCTCTGAAAGGAGGTGGAGGTGGAGGCCTTTCTTGTGTCCTCATTTCTTATTGCTAACAGCAACCTATTCTGAAGAGGCTGAGTGAAAAGTATTCGACACCTCACAACTCGATGAAATATATTTGACAAAGTTAGGAACAAAAACTATCGTTTATGTACAATTGCAATACGACTTATACAGCTAAATATTATTTAGTACATAAGAATACGAGATAATAAATAAATTAACACCGAGAAATTGATTAATATATAGACATAGACATGGCGGAAATTTTTAAATTAACCTCAATAAAGGTCAATAGTGTTTTAGTTAACATATATCAAAATAAATATTATCATCGCAACATATAATCATATTACTGATTTAATTAAGGTCCGAAACAAAAATGCTGAAACAAATATTTTTATTAAATCTAAAAAATACCGTTTCGTTCATAACTCCCTCAAAATCCTGACATATAAATCCACGTTTCCGCCGGTCTTCAGAATCCAAGCCACAGTTCCAGTCATACAACCCTCATAATAACTCAATCAACCTATTGTCATCAGGGCCCCACATTACCTATATCGATCTCTGGTGCTAATCCGCCACCCCTCCGCAAGATATATATAATTATTTTTTTTATTAATAGTTTATATTTTAAATGAATATTTCTTTAAAATAGTATATTTTGTATTTTTCTTTCCTACCTCACATGTGCACAAAAACCTATCCTGAGTGGTAAAGTCGAGATTCATTCCCTAGGACCGCCACGAAACAAATTTCAACTGGCCCAAGTCAGGCTTCGAACCGGCACACACTGGGGCGAACGGTTGGACATTGGGAGAAAAAATAAAAGTAATAATTTGGAAATTTTACTGCATTAGTGACAAACTAATATTGTTTCCGCTTCATGCCCAGTAATTTTAAACTTAATTATCACATTAATAATGTCCTGCTGGTAGATAATAGGAGAAGAATTTTTATATATATTTATATTATATTTTTTTATGTTTAGAGTTGGTTTAGCGGTATTTTCTATTTTTTTTTTCTTGATGGACTTCTCCATAACCTGCCTTAAAGTGAAAACAGTCCCAATTTGCAACTTCTGTTCCAGTGTGCAACTTGAGTTTCTCAATCCATATTGCTCTGAGAATCGACAATATTTCTAATTCTAGTTTCTACAATTCTTGATTTTCTTTGGTACAATAAACAGGAAAGAATCTCGATGGGTATTACATTTCCTAGTATCTTCTTTCTTGTAAAGGGACAAAACTACAGTCCTTTCATATCATTTTGTAATATATTTATTGCCTATGTACGCGCAGCAGTTCGGTTTACTTCGTTCAGACCAGCTGACTTGCCAATTGTTTGGTACAAATCTTTCTTGCCTATAAAATAGTCTTTACCGTGATAAACCTGCATCGTCCCCTTAATACCATCCAAACTGCTCCAGCATTTGACCCCCTTTTAGCAGCATCTTGAAATATTCTGTTCATCTGTTTACTATATATTCGTTTAACCATATAATGGATAATGATCCTTATTTTCTTATCCGAGATTTTGGCACTTCCTTTCTCATTCGCTTAGCGTATTTTTCCAAATTTTGGGTTCAATTTCGCCTTTTCTCTCATTTTGTGACCAAATACTAACAATCAGTTCTGGTTACCTAGAAGAAGTTATAGCTACGCCCTTTCCATCTTTCTTTGTGTAGAGAGAATAATGCATTCAATATTAAAATTTCCTATTTTTTTATGATATGGTCCAACTTCCGAACAAAATAAAGGAAATAAAAATTAATCTTTTTATTTGTGATATATGAGTTTTACTAAACAACCCATTAACTATTTATTATATGTAGTTCAGATTAGGTATATATTATTTTAGTTTATAAAACAGGTATGACTCATTTCCGGAAAATTATATATAATTTAAATTACCTCTAAGAAGCAGTAAATATACAAAACAAAGTGTTAAATTGCAAACGTTAAAAAAAAAAATTCAAGACATTCAGCAAAGTATTTTTGAATTAAGTTTTATTATTATAATTATATAATTTTTATTATTTAATAATATCGCTTTTCTGCCTCTTAAGTGCATTTTATACGGAACTGCTTCAAATATGTGGGGGGAGGGGAGAGTGCACGGTAGAGGGGTTTGGCCCACAGACTATAACATCCTTCCGGATGATCTTAGAATAATGAGAATAAAAAGAATGACTGTGTCATTATTGTCGCGTGCATCATCAATCTCAGTCATAAAATACAATAAGAAAAATATTTATTTCAAATGATATAGATATTTCTATTTTCAAAATATAAAAGCAAACAGCTATTTTTTATGAAATGGCAACTTCGTGAATGGTGTTTTTTTTTAATTAGGCAACTCCTCCATCCCTTCAAATTGGCCATTAGTCTAATTTATCATTTTTTGGGGTTTACCTTTTGGGAGTTAAGGTTAATCTTTTGTACTCATCAATAACCAATGTATAATATTTGGAATCTCTAGTCAGGTTATTGTATTATTAAATATTAAAGAAATTGTTATTTCTTTGGGTTTGTATTCAACTTATTCTGGGAAATTTTAGAAATTGTTTATACTTTAAGGTGTGAAATAAATATAAATAAAATATAGTTTTAGTTACCATGCGGGCTGTTCCGGAGTACGGAATCCCTGAAGGTTGACAGGCCCATCTGCTGTTTGATTTCGTCGGTATGTGGAAATCGCGTTCCGTGTCGGAACAATCCCCAGATCATGACAGGGGTGCAATCTGAAAAAAAAAGTAAAATAAAGTTTTTGGAAATTCAAAATATAGTATATTTAAAATATAGTAAAGATCACATAAGCAGGGCCGCAGCTAGAGGGAGAGTCCCGGTACTATGGGAAAATGCCTGTTTAAAATAATGGGAATGTTTCCAGATGGATTCCTTTAAACTGGTTTGCAGCACCATTTTGCTGGTTCATCATTTAATAGAAGAATAAATCAATAGAAATATGCTGAAGCTCTTTTTCATCTTGTTATCAACATTTCTTTTCATTAGTGATTTAGTACCGTAGGAAACTCCTTAGCCTATTTCAAGATGTAAACTAGGCAATCTTCATGAATAATTTGGCCATTGGAAGCAAAACATATAAAAAAGCCATTTTACAAAGAAGGTGCGTTAGTTAAAAAACACAAATCTCCACTTTCTAGTGAGAATTGAAAGTCAAACTAAACTAGATATCGCAATCTAGGCTTTCACTGTTGTCAAAAACATTGAGTGATTAAAAACTAGTTTAATTAAAAATATTCCACTACATAAGTAACTCTATCAGTCTTAAGGGACGATTCATATCTATGATTCATATCTACATAAAAATATCAGTGTATTGTTAGTGTCCAAGAATGTTAAAACTTGGTGAAGTATTGGGGAGCCTTCAACACCCGAACAAACTTCTACATTCTTCTAACAATACCTTAATTTACCTTCCCTGTTCTTACACAATATATCAATCCTAGAGAATTCTGAATACTGAAATGCATGGAACAGAAAGATCTGTGCTGTGTTGTGGAAGGCACCCATAATAAAAAGGCAAGTAGTTCAATATTTTGAACTCAAATTGTTTCAAAATATTCTCGGGATCTTACCGAGTGATTAATTATACCCGTCAAAGTTAAAAATTGGTCCAATAATTCGCTCAAAAAATCGTTATATACCTTATAACAGTATCACCTCTCAGTATCTCAAATGAATAACTTAAGATATAACTTGAAAATATGTCCAGCTACTCACTCAAAAAATCGTAACACACCTTTCACCAAATTGATTAAACACCTTTTATTCAATCACGGGTCAGTGTTTTTAGCCAAAATTGTTTCAAAACACCATCGAATAATTTAAGATATCATTCATCGAATAATTTAAGATTTCAAACTTAAAATTTTATCCAGCCGTTCGCTAAAAAATCATTACACACCTTTTAGCAACAGTTCAGTGTTTTAAAACAGTTAGAGGATCTCACAGAATAGTTTGAGCCATCAAAATTAAATATCGAACCAGCCGTTTCCTTAAAAAATCTTCACTTAGCTTTTAGCGGATCACCCAAACACATAATCCTATTGTCGCTTCGCTTAGTCAGGTATAAACTTCAACGACCATGAAAAATAATTAAAACAACGAAATACATTTTATTTTCCTGTTGGCAAATATTGGCCATTTAGATCTTTGGCCAGATGATGTAATCTTCTTACATATATTGCCGTATGTTGCTTGTGGGAGCATAGATAGCCTAAAGGGGAACAACCAACCATACAGTGCTAGAGGCCATGGTTTACTTGGTGCAGCTGCAGGCCACCAATATCTCGTAAGTCGATCCGTTCGGGGTCAATCTAGCAGTGTCCTTCTCACCGACTCACTTGTGTTTAAGGACAGGGACATATCTGTCTAGATCCACGGATAATGGCTGCTGTTATCACTATAATCTCTCAGTCAGCAATCGAAGGACCTATATTCCTTTCTCTGAAATGGACCGTCAATGCACCAAACCTCTGGTAACTGACATCCTGGTGCACCACAACGCGATTTTTGTTCAAAGTACACGGAGTAGAGACGGCCTAGGCCAACAAAATTCATGTTTAAAAAAAAAAATAGATTTCTGTTTCCCATTTGATATCTTTTTAGACTTCTTCGGTTTCTATTATAGCTTCTGGGGCAAATTTTGTTACACTTTATAGGAAAATATTTAAAGGAAAGTAAAACTAGGAGTATGTAAGATGGATGAATTTTGGTGATGTCTGATCCGCCCTACGCACCAGTTACCATCAGCCGAAAATAAACGAAATTATATTAAAATATGTTTGATGGCTTTTTTGAAGACAATTTACTGACATTTTCGGAATGTCCGCTACACTTTAAAGCAGCCAGACGCTCACTTTTGCTTTTAAGCGATACTTATCTATTCCTAATACCATGCTCGATGGATGACCTAATTCAGCCACTGACTTCTGGAGTAAAAGCAAGATGATATTTCGTTGCCAGACTTCTACTATTAAAATAAAACATAGGAAGGGGCTGTCGAAATGGACTTACTACTGTCATATCCTCATTCTATACTATCAATACCTCTTAAGTTTTACCGAAGCGATTATTGTAATAGTTCCATTGGATTCAATGTGTGGACCAACATGGACTTATTTCAAAATGACAGTTGGGGATCTCAGGTACCGAATTACTGATAGAAAGTTGTAGTTCTACCTATCTTTAGTTTTGACAACTAATTAAACACGAAGATTAAAGATTCAAAGTAAATATTAAAACAATACATAAGGATTATATTTCGATATTTTTAGATCTTCAATATCTATTTAATTTTTAGTTTTAAATTAGTAGCCTTTGGAAATATCTATTGTTTTATATAGTTTTCGGATAGTAATAAAATACAGCTTTAACACTAAACTATCCTTAATTACTACTTGGCATCGATCAGAATGAACGGCCAATTAAGAGTTCGTCATCCGTGGATGGTGAACGATTCTGTCATAGATAGTAACGCTTATTGTGTAGCATGTACAATAACAGGGTCTCAGTCACTGGTACGAATTTTCAGTTCCAGCTGGCCATTAGTTCCAATTTATTTTAATAAGCACCTTTTCGCCTCGTTACCTCAGCAATTACTTCATTTGTAGTTTACTTTCCTTTCCCTGTTTATTCTCTTTATGGGCCTTGTTCTTGCCAGATATAAATAAAACAATTCTGACGTAATTATTTTTGAACAGAATTCTGCAAGCTTATTGCAAAAGGTGACTTCCGGAGTAAAACACTATGAAATACAATGGGCCCAAGATTGCTGAATACATATTTAGTTTGAAATAATTTAATGATTTTTTTTTTTCAAAGTTAATGATTGGCAATTTTAGAAAAAATAACTGAGAACAAATAAAACTAATGTAGAATGTAAAACTATTAACTGAGGATGGAATGCGGTCTTGTGGATAACTTAGAGAGCGATGAAGGCATTTCATCGAAACTGCAGGATTTTTAAAGAAAATTAATTATTATTACCGAATACAATATAATTTTTCCTTTGATTTTAAGGAATCAAGGAAATAAGTAACTAAATAAAGAAATGAATAAATCAAAACTTAAAAAAAAAAATAATTAATTCAGAGAGCACATTCACACCATATTTCCAAAAAAAAAAAAAAAAAAATAAATAAATAAAACAAAGTAATTTCAAAATAATATACAGCGAAATAAGAACAAAATAAAATATAATGAGAAAAGAAAATAATAATGATAGTAATAATAGAATTAAAATATTATTATAGAATTAAAAAAAAAAATAAAAATAAACATCTTAGACGCAGGCATACCTATTTACAATCGGTCATGGGAACTCCGAACCAGACTTGTCCCCCCATTTTTGGAGGGAAAAGCCAGGCTTCAGGAGATCCCTGTGCTTCTCCCTCAACCACTTCACTGGTATTAAAAGCCAGCGGAGGCTGAGTAAGGGCGCTACAACCACCGACACTCATGACTTGAGTGGAGAATCTGGCCATTGCCAGAACTCCATTATGTACATGTTACAAAAGGTCACGGGGCTACTGTCGTTTTAACCTGCGAGGAGGACTGTGCTACGGGATTAGGGTGATGATTAAGGTTCTGATGAAATTTGGAAAATTTTTCTGGGATAAGATCAAGATTAAACGGAATATTAAGGTCATTATGCAGGGATTTATTGGTGACATAGAAGGAAACATCGACTATTGTACGGAGGACTTTAGACTGGAAGGATTGAATGCGTTTGATCTTAGAAAATTTGGTTTTAGTCCAGGTCCAGATGGGTTTTAGTATTGTCAAAAATTAAATTAATTTAGGAGGTCCCTTGGCCATCTTCTTTTCAGACGTCTCGGAGGTTTGTCAGGAATTGTTTTGGATGAAAGGTTTTGAACTAGAGGGTTAGGGTGTCCATAGAGGAGGCATTAAAAGAGGAGTATCTTCGTTGGGCCAAGTCTTCAACAAAGAGAATGTTGAGGACTTTATGAAAAATTTTATTTGTGCATTAATTATTTTAGAAGAAGAATTTGATGGTCATCAAAACGTTAAATTCGGAAAAAATTTATAACTCACTGCTTACAAAGTACAAACCACTTGATACGCATAAAGTATCAATACAATAAATAATATCTGTAAAGATAAAGTGTTTTAACATTAAAAAAAGAAAATATTAAAATTAAATGAAATCTTTATAATTCATATGCTGTTACTTGGAGAACAGCGGGTTGATGACCTCTCTTATAAGGTATCCGATCAACTTATGATTATACTCTTGATGACCTATTTCAAGCGAAAGCGTTTGGCTCAGAGTGACCTTCCCTGGATACCAAATCATCCAAGACAAACCCCGCCCATAGGCATTTGAAAATATAGTTCCTGAGCTTAAACAAATTTAATTCCCCTTATCAAAGTTAGCTTTCAAGAATAAAATCGATTTACGTCTATACATTTATTGGAGAAATCCATAAATTTTGCATGGTAATGTTTAATAATTTAAGCCATAGAGATTAAAAATCCGTCCAGCCTTCAAGGGAAAAAATCTTTATATACCATAGGTTCAGAATCTTATCAATAGAGGCCGAAGTAAGGCTAAGCATTGATAATAGAGGCTGCAATATTTTATACAAATAATAAACTTAATTATATAAATTTGTTTAACCTAAATAATTAATTCTAGTACCAGATTAATGAATATGCGCAAAAATAAGCAGTGAGATCTCAGGTTCCTCACGTA